TTGCGAATAATCGCACCAACTGTTGTCACCTTCTCACCAAGCTGCTTGACGATGGTCTTGTAGCCCATTCCAGCCTTGTGTAGGTCTACAATCTTGTCCCCGACATCCTTGGAGAGCTCTTTGGTCTTGGCCATGGTGGAGAGTTTGGAATCTGATCGATTGCTTCTGTGAACAGGTGTCTTTTATAGAGGTAACAAGCTGAGATTAGGAGCATTCCCTCATTAAAATGCAAATCAATTTATAACATTTTTGACATGCGTTTTTCTGGATTTTGTTGTTATTCTGTCTCTCACTGTTCAAATAAACCTACCATTACAATTATAGACTGATCATTTCTTTTCAGTAGGCAAACGTACAAAATCAGCAGGGGATCAATATTTTTTTCCCTCACTACAGCAGGCATCAAGGTCGAGATTGAACCCAGAACCTCCTGTATGCCAGGCGAGAGAGCTACCATCTCCCCACCAATGTAATTTGTTTCCATACATCAGCACTATCATCCGCATGGTCATTCCACTGCTGGTTAAAGGCCTTCCCAAGCCCTCTCCATCTTTCACAATCTTGCGATCAAACCGCACAACCAGCACCGGCACACCAGCCGACTTCATTGCTCCATCTCCTCGGTGAAGTGTGGCGACGTGGCCTGGCGCTACCGCGATCACAGCTCGTTGTAGAGGTTCACGGTTCAATTTCAGCAGCTGTCCTGGTTATTACTGCAGGTGCAATAACCATAATGACACTGCATGCAGTCTGCTTCACATTGGACGTTAAATATCCCCTGACGTAATTCGCAGTAGGCCATTATGTGCTGGCGTCAGCTAAAATGCACCGCAAATTACTCAATCGGGACTCTCCACAGCAGTAGCAATCATCGCCCCCTACTGGCAGACTCAAGCCACAAGTCACTCTTGCAAATGAGTATCATCGTGGTCTCGAGGTCTCACCATCAGTTTAAACAACAAATTTGATACTCTTGGACGTGTTACTTTCAAAAGCTGACACCACATCCTTATTATTGACCGTCAGTCATCCCTTCCCACAGCAAGTCCTACGCAAGCCAACTTAAAATTTACAAATGTTAACCAGGTAATGTTCTCCGATTCTACATGTTCTTCTATCAATACAATTCCAAGCGTGCATCTATCTATGATACTTTGCACTTATACTGGTAGGAACGAAGTGGACCAGCCTACAACAGATTATATCGTCCGTCCGTCCGTGTAGCAACATCGCCCCCTACTGCAAACACTTGGCATGACCCTACAAAAACCTTTAGACTCAGTGACGCTTTCCTGGCTAAACAAGTGTAACATTCCCTTATAATTCCCTCAGATAGCTTTTAATTAAAACATTTAAATTAATGAGGCTTTCCTGGCTAAACAAGTGTAACATTCCCTTATAATTCCCTGAGATAGCTTTTAATTAAAACTTTTAAATTAAAATTTAACTCACAGCGCCCTAAAGCCTACAGCTAGGCCTAAAGCCTCGAACGCCTCAAACTCTCCCTTCGTATCGTTCCCCCGCGTGTGTGCAAGGGAGTTAATGTTTAACAATGCTACATTCCCTGATGCTTTTAAATAGAAACATTTAAATTTAAAGCTTTTACATACATAATAAAAACATTTAAATTAAAAATTAACTCACAGCGCCCTAAAGCCTACAGCTAGGCCTAAAGCCTCAAACTACGCCTCAAACTCTCCCTTCGTATCGTACCCCCGCGTGTGCGCAAGGGAGTTAATGTTTAACAATGTTACATTCCCTGATGCTTTTAAATAGAAACATTTAAATTTAAAGCTTTTACATTAATAATAAAAACATTTTAATTTAAAATTAACTCACGGCGGCCTAAAGCCTACAGCTAGACCTAAAGCCTAGAACGAGGCCTCAAACTCTCCCTTCGTATCGTACCCCCGCCTGTGTGAAAGAGAGTTAATGTTTCACAATGTTACATTCCCTGATGTTTTTAAATAGAAACATTTACATTTAAAGCTTTTACATAAATAATTAAAACATTTAAATTAAAAATTAACTCACAGCGACCTAACGCCTACAGCTAGGCCTAAAGCATAGAACTAGGCCTCACACTCTCCCTTCGTATCGTCCGATTCGGTGTAGCAACATCGCCCCCTACTGCAAACACTTGGCAGGACTCTACAAAAACCTTTAGACTCAGTGGGGCTTTCCTGGCTAAACAAGTGTAATAATACATTATGTTTATATTCTTTGGTTATTGGTTCCTACCAGCCCACCCAGCAGGGTCCTGTTTTTTTCCCTTCACATAACATATTTATTTAGATGCTCTGTAAAATCAACTACTAGTGTTGTATTGTGGTGGCTGGCGAAGATTGAGTTTTAGAACTCATGATAAATTGTGAAAGGTGCATCATAAGCACAGGTTACGTTACTGTTAACACATACAACTGCAACACAACAGCAGTCTTAACAATATATTTAGATATCAAAACAACAATTTCAATGATAACATTTTTACATTCTCAATTCAACTGCAAACATCACAACCAAGTGCATTTTTCTTCGGTTAAATGTCTTGCTTTTTTATTATTAAGAACTGTGGGCGAATGTAAGTGTAATCTTTCGCTTGCATAGAAACAGCTGACGGCACAAATTAATCAATCGTTGACTGCCAGAACCCCAGAGAAACTAAGCACCGTGGAAAACGTCGAAGATAAACTCTTCCTTGAATGTAATCCTCCTGCCACTTCCGCTGGGGCGGTGAAAAATATCTCCTGCGCGTAACAGATTCATTAATCAAAAAGAGAATGGCGTTTTAAGTATTTACAAGATATTTACATCGCAAGATTGTGAGATGTGGTCACTTGCGGAGGCACCTTCATCAAGCAGAATATGGCCAATGCCAATATGTAACTCAGAAGCCAACATTATTAACGGCTGGGCCAAACGACCTTTTGCAGGAATTGGTTAATGTTTACAAGGAACCTTAGCATCATTAAATGAGGTACTCACTCATTCTGTTAACAGACTTGACAGTCAGTTGGCAGGGGTATCTTGAACACTGCCACATTTTTCTATCCAGTTGGAGAGGTAGATTTCACTTGCAATACCGTTTTCTCTGGATTTTAAAACACTCCAAGAAACAATTAATTTCTGGTGTCGATTAAGTTATAATTTGGTCAAACACATACACATAAGGACGTATGTGTGTTATTCATCTACCAGATTATCTCAATGTAGAGATTCCAGTAATTGAACTGAATGATTCGCCTCTCGTATTCCACCACTTTCAACCACCTGGAAATAAACTCAAAATCACCCTCACCACGTGGGATTGCTAGGGACTTGACAACTTCGGATTTGCATCCAAGTTTGTACAAGTGGGCGGGCGAGTGGAAGTGTAGCGGTTTGTGCACTGCGTGGTAAAAAGTCGAGTCTTGAGTTGGAGTTCAATTCTCGGTTACGTCAGTGGCGAGTAATGTCTGAATCGGTCCTAGAGACATTACCCGGTCCTAATTACTGTAAAAAAACACAAGGTAATGAGTAACTCCAAATTTGGGGTAAATAGTAGGACCGGTATATATGCAGTAGTAGTTTTTGCAACTCGTGACCCCTGCCACCCTATGTTAATCAACCCACATTGACTCAAGTGGTGAAGCATGGTCAAACGTACCCCAGCAGTGGATTTAACAAGGACTGTAAATAATGATCATAATTTACAACCTTCCAATTAGCATGGTTGGCTACGTACGGTGCGAAAGAAGATCAACATACATGTTACAATAGGAATGGAGGTCCAATGTATTAACCTGGATTTCGAATACTATTACAATGGGAAGATGCACGGGCAGGTTGCATGGTGAGGTAATATGCGAGTACTCCTTCCTATTCGAAGATGTCTGATTAAAATATCCTCTTGAGGGGGGGGGGGGGGGGCAGCTCCGCCGAGCGGAAGACCTTTCGGCAAAGTGGCCACGAGCAAGAAATTGCAGGGCTGCATCTTAACCTTCACCTATTAAACTTGATTTAAAGCTTTCGTGACTGCGGGAATTACTCTTTGGTTCTTTCGGTAAAGTCACGTAGAAAGAAAATAAATTAAATAATAGAATACGCCGTTTCGATTGCAACACAAGCAGTCGTCATCAGGTAGAACTAAATTTGAGAGACAAAACACAGACACGGAGACACACAGACAGACACACAAGCAGAGAGACGACACAGAGACCCAATGCCTCGTGTCGTGGCCTTAAATAGAAAGGGGGGCAGGGCAGAGAGAAAGGTAGGTTTGCTGGAACAGAGAAATTAGCATGTAAATGAAAGAGCTGTGTGGAAATCCACCCCGCGGTAGCAGGGGGAGAGAAAGACCCAGCAAGTCTGGTAAAAAAAAAATACATTTTTAGGTCCATTCGCTTTTTCTCTCCCCCTGCCACCGCGGGGTGGATTTCCACACAGCTCTCATTGACATGCTAATTTATCTGCTCCACAGACCCACCTCTCTCTACCCCCCCCCTCCCTTTCTATTTAAGGCCACGACACAAGAGGCATTGGGTATCTGTGTTTATAAGTTGCGTGTCTCTCTCTGTGTTGTCTCTCTGCTTATTAGCGGCAAGGGCCGAAGTGTAGTTGGCATGGCCGCTGGTTGCAAGGAATGAAATGGGCCAACTCCCTTGTTAAATTTCCCTGAGCCCCTCCTCTTCATAAGCCCAGTGCCTGGACTCCCTCCTCTTGCCCCGTGGATCTCGTGCAGGTGTACTGCTCATACACTTGATAGCCACGCCACTGCTTAACTAGAACGTCAAGTAATAATTGGCGTAACAAATCCAACTCAGTTTGAGACCTCAAGAAGAATGTTTGTACTGGTCGAGAAACTCCAGTTTAAAACGTTTGGCAGTTCAAAGACAACTTTATCCTTAAAATCAGAAGCAGTGTCCATACAAACCAGCTTGCCAGTGTAAACATGCAAAAAGCACCAATCGCAGCAGTTTTAATCAACCTTGTACCATAAAATAATTTACATTATAACTGGGTTTCGTTTTCTCGCACTTAGTTTATTTACACATGCACACCGTTGGGTAAGATTACTGATATTCATGACGCTAATGTCGTCAATTAACTTTACTTTCGTTCAGCACCACCAACAATGTGGGGTGCGTGTGCCTGGCGGAAGTCACAAGTGCACATTGTTATCTACACGGTCTGAAAATATGCTTTTGGTGTTGCGAGTTTGGTGTCTGGGCTTCAACATTGATCAGCCACACGAGCATAACACATCTCATGGACCAAACGGCAAAACACCAATACTTCAAATCCCCCCTCTCTCCCCACCACCGTGCATCCGTCGCAGAATGCACCACCTGACAAAAGGTTGGATGTAAAAAAACACTCCCGACAAACGCCGCACCTCAATTTCTAAGATGTTTGTTATACTTTTGGCGCATTTCGAAACGTAAGTTATTGACAGAATACAAACGATTGGGAGCAAATTTCGCCATGAGTGCTCAATTCCAGTGTGGTGGCTAATTGGCGAAATACTTCAGATTTTTTTGCCGAATAGATTTTTTTATCAGACATTATTGGACGTTATTACAGACATGTACTTAAACACAGCCCAACTTTTTATTGGAAAAAGGTAGTAAATCTCCAGACAACACTTTGAAATGGTGCATCATGACTTTGAACCGCCCATGTTTCCACAGTGGAGACGCACGGCGTGAGCTCATCGCACAAAAAACTGTTAAACAAAAATCGACTTATCACGGCAAAACTGCCACATCTGAGACATTGCTGGATAAATTGTAAGCCAGAAATGCGCTGAGGGATGTAAAAAAACTGTGCTTTACAGTTTCAGATGCAATACCTGACCCAGCCTGAAGATTATTCATGCCCAGAGCTTAATTTAAACCTGTTCAGTTCACAGCTATATCCATCAGCAGGGCCGCCCGCACACGGTGGACCAAATTGTCGGTACTTCCACCTCTTCCAAGAATACTGGCCAGCGTAGATGAGGCCAACTATCCTATCCTCTCAAGATAGCTTCCTGAGAGCTTCCTGAGAGCTTCCTCTTGCAGAGGGCCTTTCTGCTGCCAGTCGTGAAGCAGGGAAGAAATTGCAGGGCTGCACCGTCACCCTATGTGGGAAGCCGACCCGAGAGAATATTTCTGCACTCAGCAGACCACAATCGACATGGAAAATATTCAGCGCCAACTTAAGAGGGTGGCTGCCAAGGCCCGCTGTAGTGTGGCAAATAGTGGTACGGCTGCTGGTACGTCTGTGCCGGGCTGGCCTGTGGCGGTAGGGCAGCTGCCGTTGGGCCTGGAAGGGTGCCAGCCGTCCCCACGAACATCCACGGAGGCGGTTGAACAGGCGGAGGGCTATTTGGGTGGACGGTCGGACAAGGGGGCGGAAGAGTCGGGCAGGAAGGGGGTGGCACAGTCGAGCAGGAAGGGGGTGGCACAGTCAGGCAAGAAGGAGGTGGCACAGTCGGGCAGGAAGGGGGCGGCATCATCCCGAACTGGGGTGGCGCTATCGGGCAAGAGGGGGGCGGCACCGTCGCGCAGGGAGGAGGTGGCAGCACGAACCCAGGTCGCGAGAGGCACGGCTGCACCCCCTGGTGCAATGCGTGTGACAGGAATAGCGGTGGCAGTGGCGGCGGCGGCAAAACAGGCTGCAGTGCGCAACCAGACGGTTGCCTTGGCGGTGACAGCGATTTAGGGGGTGGACACTCTGGTAGTGGTGGTGGCGGAAGTTCTGGTGGCGGAGGAGGGGGGCTGCTGGGTGGGAGCGGCGGCTGTGGCGGTATTTTCGGCGGGGCAGGGAGGACTGTCATTGCGGTGGTGTCGGTGGTGCCTGGCTCCTCATTTGGACACCTGCTGCTGGCACTGGCGGATGTGGCGTCAGTGGTGCTGGAGTCCTTGTTATTCTGCTCTGGGTCTCCTGTCTGGCACCAGGGCTGTGTGTGTGGTGCCTGCGACGAATGCAGACCGCGGTCTAAGGAGTCGTCTACGGAGCAAGAAGGGGATAAAAGAGCGAGGGTTTGAGTTTCACTTTAAGATTTTAGTTTTTATGAATAGGAGAGCACATCCACAAATTGGCAATGTGCAGGTGCAAGGTGGATGATTGATGATGAGAATGTATTACAAAAATTAGGCAACCTCACAGTGCAATTTAAAAACAAAATTTTTCGAATAATGAAAGCGAACATTTTTTATGTAATTTATCAACGGTCAGAGAAAATATGGCTTACCTATGGCACAATATGTGGACGCACCCCATCGCCATCTCAGCTCGTAGGCGTACGTCCGACACCAGTGCGATATTATGAAAAGCAGTGATGAGTGTTGTATATGATCAGTCCAGTTGCCTTACAGTGCTTTCAAAATTGTTATAATTTCAATTAAAATAATGAGTGCTTTTGGTATTTGTGCCATTCTATTACGAGGGTGCTGCGTCGCAAACGACCAGTCGGCAGTAGGTTCACGGTAGACGGCGACAACTGCTGCAAGTTCTCCCAATTAACACGCATCAAACTATGCACACGTAAGAATTACAGTCCGTTCTTCTATCACACGTGTTTTCTCATAACGTGAATTGGATATTAAACGATGAATGTATTCGGGAACATTTTTTATGACGCGGATGCGAATTGGATAACGCAATTGAGTTAACAGAAATCGATTCCTGAATCACAATGATTCCTCGAATGGCAAGGAAGAGGGGAGAGCGAATCGTCGCAAGCGTAGCCGGCACTCACCTCGACCCGGAGAACGTCTCCTCCTCCTCTCGGACTCTTCCTCTGCACTGCTCTTCGTGATCCTCATCCTCTCTGGGGGAGTCTTCCAGTGCTGCCGATCTCCGCTCGGTGTCTCTGTGCGCTTCTCCGTGCAGCCGTCCCGGTGGAACGCGGCCGGCGATTGCATTTCCGCTGCCGCCATCTTTGACTTCGCCGTCGAGCCGTCGGCCCTGCCTGGCTTCTCCCTGCCATGCGCTGCCACCGCTGCCATCATCATTCCCGCCGTGTGTTGGTTGCCCTGCTTGTGTCGCAACTTTATCTCCTCCCAGAGCGACAGCGGCTTCAAAATATTCTTCTTGCGCTCACTCTGGCAAGGCGGGTGAACCGTCAGCCTGGACCGGTCAGGCAACCCCCCGACTCTAACCTGCCCATCTCCTTGAAGGAGCAACGCACCCCGTTGACCTTTTGCGTTGTCGCCGGATGAAAAAAAAGATGAAACGCGTAAATGAAACACAGCGGGAGGAGTGGAGCGATCGCTAATTGCCCTTTGCTCATCGCACCGCTTCCTCTCATCGGGGGTATCGCTCACGCCATCATCATCACGCTTCCCGTCGGACTCCGCCTTGGGGACGCGTGGTGGCGGTCCGGGCGGCTCTTCGACGTCTGTCCTCCGCCTCTTGCACTCGGCCCGCTCATTCGGTGGGGTCACCGGTCTGTGTTTTCTGCCGCCGGCGAGGTCACCCGCGAGGTCATGGTTGCCCTCCTGTGGGATTGGGATACTGGGCCAAAGGCTATCGTGGGTGGCATCACCCTGACCGTTGTGCTTCCCCGCCTCCAACTGCGGCGCCGCCACCATCACCGCCGCCGCCACCATCACCGCCGCCAGAGCTTCTGGCTTTTGCTGCTGCTCCTTCCTTGAAGACTGCTGTGGGGCGACAGGGATCCAAGTCTCACTGCTTTCACGCTTGTCATAGGGAGACGATGACACTGCCGCCTCAGCTGCTGGTGGCCGCTCGTGCACAGAGGTAGCGAGCCGGCTATGGCTAGAGTCTTTATTATCTTTATTATCTCCCGGCGGCACTGGGGTGGCGAGACTGGGCTGCCTATCATGCCTGGGGAGGAAGAGCTGCCTCTGTTGGCTGCCGGTTTCTTCATCGTCTTCGAACGTCACCTGCGGGGATGGCTTCGACTGTTGCCCGTGCTCTGAAATCGACGACGAGAGCGCACAAGAAACGTTCTGGGTGCTCCGGGGCTTCTCTGCCCACAGCTGGCTTGACACGGGTGTCACCACTGCCAGGCACTCCTCGTGCATAGCGATGGATGAACCCCTTTGCGTTTTCCCCTTCTCTTCAGGCGACACGCACACCGCCACTCGGGGAAGATGCTCGGTTCCTGCCGTGCAGCCGCTCTCCGTCTTCTGCTCCGGAAGCTGCTGCTCGTCTTCATGAATGGCGAACTGCAGGATGGGAAACCTCCTCTGGGAAGCATCCCTCTTCTCGAACGCCGCCAAGGCTGCCGCTTTGGGCTGCAGTTCTCTGCTGACGGTGGACAGCAGCAGGAGGGGTGCTTTGCTTTGTCTGCCATCCACCTTTTCTTCCATCGACTTTGACAAAACCTGGCTGAACTGCTGCTGCTCTTGTTTGTAACTGGAAGACAAAACAGACGCCCACTTACGCTTTCTTTCCTTCTTCTCTACCAATGGCGGAGACTTGAAATACCTCTGCTTTTCTTCTTTCTTCGTCTCTGCCAAAACCACCGAAGCAGCTGCTCCAATCTGCTGCTCGCGAGGGGATAGAGGCGGTGAGACAAAACGCCCTACCTGGCTACCATCGTCGTCCACCTCTATTGTCAGTGTCGACGCAGCCGAATTGGGCAGTCGCTCACTCTTTCCAGCACGCGAGTGGGCACGGGGCGAGCTCTGGCCGCTTTTTTTCTCAGCTCTTAGAGGCGATGGCGGCAAGACCACCGTGGCCTGCCGCTGCTGGTTCTCATCGGTGGACAGATGGATGGCAGAGGAGCTAGCTTCGCCGTCTTCCCTCTTTTCCAAGGACACTGGTGCTGCAGCTTTTTCTGAGGCGGAATACCAGCCCAAGCCTCCATATGTCCCATCGACTTTCATCGTTTCTCTCGTCTCTCCTGACGGTCTCAAAGCAACTGTGCGCTGTTGCTGCTGCTCAACCAGGCTGCTACGCTCAGTTTCTTTCTTTACCACCGCTGATGCAGAAGATTCCACGCTCGGCTGCGGCTCTTGTCTCAGAGCTGACAGAGTGGTGGTGGAGGAGCTACACTTCCGCTTGCCTTCCCCCCTCTTTGCTCCCAGCGATGTCGTGGACGTGACCGCCACAGGGCTCCCTTCTCGGGTGGACGAGGACGACGTTACCAAACAACTGTTCCGGCTGCCATATCCCTCCTCGTCCAGCAGCATCGACGACACCACCACCATGGGGCGCTGTTCTTTATCGATGGTAGGCTGGCGGATGGAGGTGCTGCTCTGCTCCTCGGTATCCTTTTTATCCGACGACGTGGCTGCCTTCAGCTGCTGCTCAGGTCGCGGCGGTGTTCGAGGAATGGGGGAAGGACTCGGCACAACGAGGAGTGTCTCATCCCACACTGTCGACGTTACTGGGTCGGGTTGCCGCTCACCACAGATGGTGGTTGAGTGGACGAGGGAGCAGCTCTGGGCACCGACTTTTGTCGCGTCATCCGACAAGGGCCGAGAGGCCACTTTTGTTTCCTGGTTCTTCACTCTCATTTGCTGCTGCTGTTGCTGCTGCTTAAAAGAAGGGACGGGGCTTGCCGAGATTAAACTACTACCGCTTTCTTTCTTCACTTCTGGAGCAACCGATGTAGGCCGCGTTGACTGCGGTTCCCACTTCACAATGGACGGGGGGACAAGAGGACTGTTCTGGTTGTCAGTTTCCTTCTCTTCCGCAGTAAGTGTTTTCGGCCATTGATCGTCGTGCTTAACAGGTTGACTCTTCCCATCCAATGACGCCGTCATAGACACTTTTTTTGGCTGCGGGTCAGGTTCGGGTCGCGAGACGTTCGGCCAGAACTGGCTGCTCACGTTCTGATCCTGCAACGCTGCCGATACCGCTACAGTCGACATGGGTCCTTCTGACTGTTGAACACGTTTGGCAGCGGGCGGTGGAAAATTTGGCCGGGTCTGGTTGCTTTCTTTGAGATCGGGCAATGCTGCTGGTGCCGCCACCAGGGCTTGCCGCTCTTGCGCCAGTGGTAACGGCGGTTGCGGTGGCTGTGGTGGTTTTGACGGTAGCGGCCGCACGAGCGGCCAGCCCTGCTTCCCGGCGTCTTTCCTCTCTTCCGAAGGCACAGATATCGGAGGTCGCTGTATGCCAAGGTTCAGCAGCTTCGTCTTGGCGTTGGGCTCAGGCGGGTGCTGCAGGGACGCTTCTCGCTCTTTGCTCTGCTTGGCGACGTTGGCGGCGGCCATCGCCATCCGCCGGTGGGTGGGCTCGAAAGCACCCTGGTGGAATTTGGCGATGAAGTCCGAGATGGTGCTGACGGCGATGCCGGCATTATGGAACCTGCTGACGTTCTCTTCCACGTTGCCTGCGCGCAGACACACACGGGAGGTGTTGTTTTGCGAGCACCACGGTCGGGGTGCACTCGGAAGATGGCATGGGCGAGCGTGGTTGAGTGTGTATGAGCACAGATGAACGTTGTTGGGTAATGGTGATTGGGCGAGCGTGGATGAGTGTGGGGGAACAGCATGAGTATGTACAGGAGGGTGCTACGGACTTAGCACCTGCAGGTGACAGTGAGGATGACTTAACGGTTGTGTGTGAGCGTGCCTGGGTGAGCGTGCCTACGCGAGCATGGCTGGGTGAGCACGGCCGGGCGTGGCCGGGTGAGCGAACCCCCTCACCGGTGAGAAAGACGGTGTAGCGACACTGCGGACTGAGTGCCTGCAAGCTGACCGCACAACCCAGGAAGCCAAGGCTGGCGTTGCAAGCGTCGTCGCATGCGTGGGGAGGGAGGAACTCCGCCAGCTGCTGCCGCTCGGCACCCAGCACCAAGGACAGCACGTCACCCCACACGCAGCTCTCCCTGGAAACGCGCGGACAGTGTTGTATGTGTTGGGTTATGAAATTTTGATAAAAATAATAAAAATTAATAATTTTCCGAAAAATGCGCAAATCACATTAATTATGATAGTGTGTGTATTAATATGCATAAATTATGTTAATGTGTGTAATTATATGCATAGATTATGATAATCACGGAGATAATCGTAGTAATTTATGCGAATGCTTGCGACTATGTTAATGTGTGCAGTTGTGGTAATTAGGCTCAGCTTCGTTTATCCAGAGTTATATCAATCAGGATAACACGATTATCATCGATTAAATGTTTACCGATTATCTTAGTGTGTGTTATGATATTTTAGGTCTCCATTTTCATATCTCATCGCAGGTAACAGCTCTTATGAATAAGACAGTTTTGCATGGACTTGGAAAGAAGCACTCGAACAGTTGGTGTGAAGCAATTTTATTCTAACAAGCATGCGACATTCTATCATGCATATCAAACATACGCCAATAATTCATGAATAACCAAACACTTATGCATTTGCGATATCATGCATTCGATTAATATGAATAACTAAAATTCTTATGCAATTACGATATTATGCATTTGACTAAAATGAATGAATAAACACTTATGCATTTGCGAGACTATGACTAAAAAAAAAAACCTCCTAACAACCAGGCATCTCATTAGTTCGCCCATGTATCGATCACAATCGGCGACTGGCCGAGTTTGAAACAAGCATGACACACTTCATTTTGCGGTAATAAAAAGCACTTATTGTATCCCAAAGGCGAAAGTGTATGTATATACTGGTGGGTGAGGGCGTGTTGCGGGAGAGCTAATCTGGCTCTGTTTTAATTAATTCTTCGGCGAGACTCTTTGACAAAGGAACTGGTTTGACAAGATTTCCTCTGTTTCCTTGAGTCTGTATGTGGGGAGCGATACAACCTCTCTGCTGTCTGTGCGAGCGGCAGCTGAGACTTTCTCCGCTGTGAGGTGAGCGGCGGCGCTCGTTCAGAAGACTTTGACTCTTTTTCTCCACGGCGGGATGACGAGTCGGTTTTGGTTGATGCTGGTCGATCCGGGTGTCGCTCGTTGTCGCACGGTGGCGCACGGTGGCGCACGGTGGCGCACGGTGGCGCACGGTGGCGCACGGTGGCGCACGGTGGCGCAAGGTGGCGCAAGGTGGCGCAAGGTGGCGCACGGTGGCGCACGGTGGCGCACGGTGGCGCACAGTGGCGCTCGTTCAGCGATCTCCGCCTTTCCTGCGGGTTGTTCGCTGGTCGTCACTCTGACGAGGAGCGATGCTTCGTTCGTGGCAGGGTGGACGTTGGCGTCTTTGTTGGCTTCACTCGCAGCTCTGCGACTCAGGGTAGCGATTCTTCTCAGGTGGTGCAGACCTCGGCTTGTAGCTACGCGTCGCTACTCCGCGAACCTCGCCATTCTGGATGACGAAAACTTCTTGACGATCTGTGGTGGAGTCGAAGCCCTGGCGACGAGTTGGGCTCGTGGCCCGGACGAACTGTGGTGGAGCCGAAGATGGGGCTCGTGGCCCGGATGATCTGCTTTGAATGGATTTTCCTTCGGTTTATATCTGGAATTTCCACTCAGTTTCCCGAGTTGTTCAAAGGCTGTCATAAAACCCTCCTGTGGGCTGAACCATCTGTGTTCGTTGTGTGTGTGTCCGTCCGTGTGTTTCGCGTGCGTGTTTTTCCGTGTGTTTATTAGCTTTGAAGACACATCTGTGTCGTTCTGGAAGAAAGGGGTGGGGGTGGCTCGTGACGGCGCCACCGAAGTTATCCATTAGCCAGACCGATGATTCGCGTCGAGTTATATATAAAAAAAAACATTCGAATCCATGTTTTGTTACTGAATAATATTTGTCGCGAAAACCTACGCGTTAAGCGAGCTTAATTATTCTCTCCCTTACTCGGGGATCATATCTTTTGTCTCACACAGCTTAAGTTGTTTTGGTTTGGAAGTTGAAATGCAACTTATTTGCTGCTTGGTTCCATCTGCACAGTTATGCCGAAACCGTGTTCGCGATGTTTCATCGTGACCCGATCTCTCATGGAAATGTTATTTCCTCGCGTGTGCAATTTTTTCCTGTCCGTGTTGTGGGAAGACAAAGACGGTTGTTTCCACGGTGGGAGCACCCGGCGCATGCGCTTATTTATTCGAAGGCGTGTGTTAATTTCCTTTGAGCCATTGCCCCAACCTTTATGGGTGTCATTTCCTGGCTTGGTGCCTGTGTGTGGAGATCCTCTCGGAAAGACAAAGGCGGCCGTGTTGCTCGCTTCCCATGGGTGTTGTGTTTGGTTAATTTTGAGAGCCTTCTCCGCCCTTGATTCCTCTTCTACTTTAATTCCGTACTTATTATTTGACTTCTTGTGATTATTTAATCTGATATCCCGGCTCATCTTTGTTCAGAATATAATTATCTCTTCCTCCATGGTGCCTGGTTTGAGGTTTTTTTTAACAAAAGGATGTCCTGCTGACCCCCCTGCCTGCCATTCCCCCCTCCCTTGTTCCTCTTGTGTGAAATTCGGGGAGTTTATGACCTTGATTACCCTCTTTCATGCCATCTTTCCTTTGAATTGAGGTATGCGCGCATCTGTGGAAGTGTGGGGGCGTGTTCGTTCCACGTTGCCCCGTGTCTATTAAAAAAACAATATTATATATGATGGCAGAATAATTCTTAAAAAATATAAAAATAAAATAAAAAGGGGGTACATACACAACAACAGGGAGACATGGAGATGATGGAACGAGACACATGGGCACAGAGACGGGCAGACAGAGAGGTAGAGAGACAGATAGAGATGGAGACAGGAAGAGGGGCAGAGGCAGGGAGATAAGATATAGATGGGGTGAAAGTAAGAGACAGGGAGATTGGAGAGACAGGCAGAGAGAAAGACAGAGAGATAGGCATACTGGCAGAGAGATGGAGATAGGTGGAAAGAGATACAGTTAAGCAGACAGACAGAAAGACAGGCAAGCAGAGACATAGGGTTAGACACAGAAAGAGGCAGATGGAAAAAAAACCAGACAGATGCAAAAAGACAGATCCCCGTATAGCCTTAACAGATTGTTGGGGCACGTGTTGTTCGCAAGTAGAACTGATCAAGGCCAATACAGTACGAGGGGGTGGGTGAGCCAGCACGCACGCACACAGTAGGTCAACAACCTACGTGCTCCACTGCCGTCTAAGAGACCATCCTTTGGCCATGTGCCTAGCCCTCCGGAATGCTGGTCGGGGGGGTTCTCACCGTCCAGCTGTGTGGAGGTTCTTCACCATGCGTCCGTGCAGCTTCCACACCCACCGAGTGCCCACCGAGTTCAGCGACCGCAGCACGCCGATGAACTTCTGCACCAGGCCTGCGATGGGGCGTGGGAGGACGGTGCCCGTGGCGTCAAAAGAATGCGATGCAGAAATAGTTTTTGCTGTTCGTCACCATCATTGCACCTCCAATTACCGCGGTTGGATACGTCGTTAAACATTCCTACGTACATCATCGTACATCATCAGCCATGGTCAATCCACCGCTGGATGAAAACCTCCACAAGCCGTGGCCACCTCTCACGATCCCGGGGCGAGCATGCTCTCGCAGATTTCTTTCATTCCTTGGCTGGCACTCCTTAATTATTCTTGCTGATATTTCCTGCCCAGGCCCACGTTTTTATGAATAGTTCGAATTATATTTCGATTTAAAGCTTTCGTGACTACAGGGATTCATCTTCTTGGTTCTTTCGGTAAAGTCGCGTAGAAGGGAAATAATAAAATAATAAAAATAAAACATAATAAAATAATTCTCACGACGTTTCGGCCACAACGCAAGCAGCCGTCCTCAGATGAAGAACAGGTCTGTCGGAAAGACAACGTCTGAATGAACACCACCCGGCTTGGAAGCGTATATTTAAGCTGGGTTGGAGGAGGAAGAGCGCCCTGACAAAGTAATTTGCATATCAAGATGAATTTAGCATATTTATGGGAAATGCAGATATGGGATTAGTCACTACTCGTGGAATGCGTAGGAGGTGGGCGGGGGGTTTCAAAGTCATATTATGCCCGTGCATTATTGAGGATTAGCAGCATCAAAGAGAGGGAGTAGGGTTAGCATTAATAAATGGAAGGAATGTAAATGTTTTTTGCGACATAGAATTGTAATGTATGACTTACTGTTAGTAGCTCAGCTTATTGATGATAGTGATGTAGTTTATATTTTAGTTTTTTACATGGTGGTTTAGTTGCTGCAGCTCCATACTATTAACATTCCAAACAAAAGACCGGGATATATTCTCATTTGGCAAGGGTGACCCGGCTCACCCAAAACAGTGGAGCCTACTCACCGGGGTCACTGGCTGCCTCTTTGAGCGCAGTGTCATCCGATACGAGGAAGCCGCCCAGGTGCAGCAGCTTGCGGAACGAGCGGTTCGTGATGTCAGCAAGGCCGTCCACGCCGGCAAAGCGCACGCCCGACGACGCTTGTCGCAACTGCAGCAGCCGTGGGATCTGGTGGAGACAGTGATGCGCGGAAATCGCCGGTCAACGCAAGCGACCCTCGTGGGGAAGCGAAAGGAAAAAACATGTAGACTGCGAACAGAGTAGCAAAAAGCCTGAACTGCGATCCGACCAATAAAAACCCTGCCAAAACTCTAAACCGCTGGTTTCCAATCTTAGGTACGACAATCACCGCCTGTGTTGATACAATTACAATAGTCAGTTCTGCTATAACGCTGTGTGTTTTCATGAAGCAAATTGGATACAACGCGATGAATCTATTAGGGAACACATTTTTTATAACACCGATGCGGATTGGATATAAGGTGATCGAGTGAACAGAACTACATCGCGTGAGTAGGAATAAGCGGTTGTGCAGTTGCCACGGCATAGCATTATCACACAAGGTGTGATGCTGCTGGATGCTTCGAGATGCTACCCATGCGCCTCAAGTCTTTGTTCAGCCTGCATACACATCTAACGTGTTATCGCGTACTGTGCTTTACCCTAAATTATATATTTATAACGTCATTTTTCTGTAACCCGGTGTTCTTCAGGAACGCAACTACCGCGTTATACAAGAGACTGTACTGCATATACACTAAACTATTCTATTTATCAGGTGAAGCCCATTCAGCTATTAGCTTTTTTTCAGAGGTGACCTGGTCACACACAATAGCTTGTCGCAGTGGCTTAATATCACATGTGGAAATTTAGAGTAGCAGCCAAAACTAAAGGACCCGGAGAAAAGTTTACTTGACCATCATTGGGAGAGAGAATACGTGAATTCCGAAATATACAACAGGCATTGTCAGGGTCTAGGATCGAACCCATGCCTCCTACATACCATAATCCTTTACCAGTCCACTGCTGCATGAATGCCATGCCCACCCCGTGTCGGGTCACAAAAGGCTGTGTGACTATACTTCATCATGCTGGTCAGTGCGGGTCAGTGAATGGTGGTGGGGGGGCAGAACAGGACCACAACCAGGAATTGAACTCGGAAAACTGAAATAACTAGGTTAATAGCACAGTATGCTAACCACTACACTCACTGCTCCCCACAAGTGATTAGAGAAGCACATATGCCATGCCGGGAAATTAAACATAGGTTCCAAAGTTCAAAGCAAAGTGCTAACCACTGTGCACTACTCCACCTCTGTCTGACAGCCTCAAGATAATTATATTTTTGTTTTCCTGTTGTTACACAGGCGCACTTCAATTGTCATTAACTATTTTGAAGCTTTGCAAGACCACGACTGATGCCAGCTATTGTCAGGATAGCTGGGTTAATAGCGCACACACACATTGAACATTACTCCATTTCACACTGATACACCCTCAGTTTCACCATTAAAGACCAAGATCCCCCGTATAGCCTGTCCAGACTGTTGGGGCAAGCACTGTTCGCGAGCACCTTTGAAGACCGGCACGGAACACGAGGAGGTGGGTGGCCAACTGTCTTCATCTGTGGTGGCAAGTTTAACGACATATTGAAATTTACGCGATCTAACCCAAAACACCTATATTATGGATATTAATCGCAAAAGCCTACGTGTTAAACTGCTTTTATCTCCCTAGTGCTGTTATTTACACACGGCACCAGGTACTCATTGAGGCTGAGTGGACCTAGGGGAAACCCATGATCATTTCAGATAATCATCACTGGTGTTAGTTCGTAGTGCAGCGCGCACTCCCTACCATAACACACCCTCAACATAGACACTGACACTCTTACACACTGATATACCCGAACATACTCAAACCATTGGAGACCTTCACACCCACACACACATGAACAAAGCGAGTAAATAGCGCAATGCGCGAGTCACTGCACCCACCGCGTGCTTTCAGATGCACTTCTGCGGCCGTCTAGAACCTTCTTCCTTCCGATGTTAGGCCACTGGAGCTATGCACTTTTAAATCGAGATGGAAAACTAATTTCTTTATAAATGTTTGTTTTTAGTTTGTTGTCCTTCCCCCTGCACCTCTGGGGGTTACAATTATTCTCAGAATACTCCCAAAGTTAACAAATACTCAGGGTGGAAATATTGACCATTGACACAGGGACTCTCTGCGTGGCCCGTCCACCCCGTTTTACCGTGTGCAGGATGCTTCCGATGTCCTTATTTCTAATCACGACCAGCGCTCGTTTGCCGCTAGTCTCATATTCGGCCAGTCGCCCGTCTTGGATCTCCTCCCAGTTCTGCAGCCGCAGGTATTCCTAATGGGGAAGAAGCACAGCGGGAGAGGTGAGTTGAGCGAGGCGAAGGATTAAAAGAATGACGCTGTTTTATCGACAATTGTTTAGGGAATCAATTATCGACTCCCAAAGTCAGGGGAGCCGACAATCAAATCTGGTCCAATTTTAGTGTCGATCAAACCAGCTGGCATGCAGGAACATTCAAACCTCACAGGGTGCTCAAATGCGAATAGTCACGTGATGACCCATTACATACTATGTAAAAAAACACAGCCTCCTTGCAGTGACCAGCGTGTTATGTTGAATGAATGGGGTACGGGTTCAGGGCTGGTTGCGCTATCACTCGTCGCTGATGTTAACTGACGCCGACAATTCAAAAAACAGTGCCAGCTGGTGAAGTTTGGTAAAACTGATAATGAAATGGTGTTATGATTTCCCATTCATTTATCATGAACGATCAAACAATCATAATGGCCACCCTGTACCCACAACGTGCCATCTGCTCACCCACACCACCCCACTCGATCGCTCACCCTAATTGGCTCCAGCTCAGGATCGGCAGGAGAGCCATGCACGTAGAAGGCGTCTCGCTGGTCCACCAAGCCTGGCACTGCTTGCGTTGCGCTCGGTTGCCCGGCCACTGCTGCCGCCGGGCCCAAACTCAAGTCCGCTGACACAACCTCCGGCTGGAGTGTGCTCGGAAGAGAGCCGGCGCCGATACCGACGGGCACAACTTGGCAGGCGGTGATATAATCCGGCCGGGCGGTACTGACGAGTTGAGGCGAGGGCTGTTCAGTGTGTGGAAAGCGCAGGCAGGTGGTCTCTGGCGGAACGCCGCCGATGGGGTGTGGCGGCGGTAGCTCCACAGAGGACGGATACCAACCCAGACGCCCGCTTGTGTCTGGCTGGGAACAGATCCAGGCTGCCCAAGGGAGGTCGGTCTTGCTGGGCTTGGCAATGTGGTGAGCGTGAACGACTATTGGAGGGCGTGTGTGGTGACAGAAAAAAAACCAAACACATAACACGAGTGTTATCTTTCAGCTGCCAAGGAAGGGTGGAGTGGTGGCGCAGTGGTGAGCGCACTGAGCTACGAACTTGGTAACCTGTTCGATTTGCGGCCATGGCTAACATCAGTGTCGAGAGAAATCTCAGAAGGTCCTGGGCCTCCCCTTCGCTTTACAAATCTGCTTCGAGTGGTGTGGGGTAGTGAAAAAAACAGGGTAAGGGGTGGCCCGGATAATGCAAAACCGATACATAAATAATGCTAAACATTTATAGCTTATATATGAAGAATGAAGGCCAAGACATAGATTGTCCGAAGTTTGTATTGCTTCTTAAAATAATCGGTCAACTTGCCGACATGTTTGTGATCAAGTGGGCACTGAGCCGCTGACCTTCAATAAAGTGAGGAGCAGCTAATAATTAAACCCGTGCACACGCGAAGATATTTCATTTATTTGCCTGACCTGAACTGCTTGCCAGAGTCGCATCGCATCGCTGCTCCACCAAGTCACCCCATCCTCCTCCTTTGACCTCCGACCCTGTCACCCTCACGTCCGCCTCGTCCTCACACCCCTCCGAGTCTTCATCCAGGTCCATGCTCACCGGGCTTCCCGGCCACATCACGGACTCCACAGTTGGTGACCACGCCGCCACCGACGCATCCCCATCTTCTCTCCTGGAAGAGCCGGCTTGGAAATCCTGAACGTCAACCGCCATCGTCACCACTTCCGCCTCTTGCCGGATACCACAATCCCGACGGCGATCGCACCTGTCGAAGTACGAGTCGTCGAGCGACACCCTCTCGTACGACCGCACAGCGGCCGTCGTCGACGTCCTGTGGTTTGACTCCTCATCTTCTTCACCTTGCTCATCACCAGCAGATGCGTGCATCCAGTTATGCTTCTGCACACGCTTCAGGTAGCTGCAGATCTTGCTGGCGAGCGACCCCGACTTGAGCTGCTCCCGCATTTGGTAGATCAAGGTGTCGGCGTCGGTGCCGACTCCATCTGCCAGCGGCACGTGCACCGCCTGCCGACCCCCGGCTGGCAACCGCAGATCCCAGCCCGCCGAGCGGCACACGCCATCCATCTCCCGCGCGAGCATGGTGGCACAGTCGTCGGCGACCTCGTCCACAGGATGCAGCTTCTTGAAGCGCCGCGACTGCCCGAGTCGACTCTTGACCTCCCCAGGGCGACACTGCTGCTGCTGCCACCACCTGTCCAGCTGGTCCAGCGGTGGTATCGACGGCTCTGCCACGCCGGCGATCTCATCCATCGAGCGTACGAGAGACAACACCGGCTCCTCAAGTTCAATCCAGCCACAAAACGGGCCGCGTGGTAAAATCGGATGCCCGGGAGCAGACTTCAACAGCGATGGAAAACGCGGGAAAAAGTCGGCACAGTCATCGGAATCAGAGGTGGACGCCGAAGACATGCTTGATTTCGTGACAGAGGACTTGACGTGTTTGACCCATTTTCCGAGCAGCCGCTTGCTGTGTACGTTACCGTCCGGGTTATCATCCAAGCCCTCGCTCTCATTGGAGTCACCATCACCAACACCACCACGGGTGTCACCATTGACACCGCTATCAACGCCGCCACTCCACAAATTGCTGACCATCTGCCTCATGGAGGCGAAGACATCTTGAGTTTGCGGCGCGGGGAGGTCAGCGAGGTTGGCGGTTGGGGTTCCATCGGAGGCCAGTAGGAAACTGGGGGCGTCGAGTTTACAGGGCAATGACAGATCCCCCTCTGCATTGTGGGGGAAATGCGGCCCCCCACTCGGCAGGTCTGCGAGCCCCCCACGACCGCCACCGCTGCACCTCCTCCTCTCCTCCTCCTCGAGCAGTGGAATCTCACGCGGGAAATCAGCGCAAGCAACCGGGCCGTCATCAAATGCCATCTCCCCTGTGCCTGGAAAACAAATAACTGCCGAGTAGAGAAAGTCTGGACTGTGACCAAGCTTGAAAGACCGTGCAAAAGTGTTACATCTACACTCGCCATCTACTAAAATTATCCTTGCAGGGCTGTTTAATATCGAGCCTACATTCTCTATTAATTTCCGGTTTACACGAATGATATAAACATATACCATTGGTAGAATTGGCATTGGCACCATTCCTACGGCGCAACGCTATGACCAATGTGCTGCGTGTCACAGACGGGTATAGTCTGCCAGAAGGTTAACATCGCTATGTGATTTAACCCAATGAAGTAATTTCAACCATTTGATGGACATTTTATAATTTGGCAACTCTGTTAAGGGCGTGGTTGGCATCGTGTGCAGCCACCTTTGTCTCCTCCAGTGCCGATGTTTTTCACTCCACACCACGTACTAGATTTAAGGCCGAGCTGACCAAGGCTACACATGCACACTCACCGTGATCAGGGAGCCTGGTGGAGGCGTTGCAGTGAGAATAGCGTGGGTCACATTCGTTGACGTAGTTCTCAGGCAGAGAGTTCTTCCTCAGCCCTGAAAAACACAAACAAGTAATTTAACAACCATGCACATGTGTTGATTCTATCACGCTCTCCAATATGGATTTGTCCCTTCATAGTTCTTGAAGCAAACTGCCGGCCAAAGTCAGGCCTCCCCTCTCGTTCTCTTGTTTTCCTCGCCCGGGTCCTCAAGCCTCCTTTGGCAAAGGAATCGGGGTAAGACCTGGGTTTTCCCCAAAGCCACTCTTAACCGTAATTTACACATGACATCACACTTTGGTCTAAGAGGCCCTTTAAATTAACGGCGAGCCCGGTATTCACACGATCCCGTCAAGACACTGGAAGCTGAACAAGCTTAAAAGAGCCTGGAAAGTGGTGGGATAGGTGGCCACACTGCGCAAAAGATGTTGCGTGTAAGTACCTTTGGAGGGCAGTGCAGCAAAATCAATTGCGGGTGAATGCTGCTCAAGGTGGACACTGGTAGCATTACTTGCCACCCCAGGTGGTACCGACCAACCGCCGTGCTTTGGCCCACGGACTAAAGGCTAACCTGTGAGAGTCACGAGCTTCCAGCCCGGGCTGCTAGCCGGCAGGTCGTCCACGGGTTCGTGGGTCGCCGGGAAGCCCATGGCAGCGGAGTATTGCTTGTTGTTGAAATTGCAAGTGATCTGAGAAATCGAGCACGTGTGCACACACATGGGAGACACACGTACACATGAGCGGTGGTTGTTACAAAATAGAGACTTGAGACTTGTTTTCTTTTACTCCTGTTTTTACAAGTAGGCACAATCCAAATCTCTCACATCCACACAGGCAAAATTAAAAGTGCGGCTCTGAAATTACTTTCTCATGCCAATGTTGGTGGAAGGGCCTCCACTAGAGGGAGTTATAGACAGTTCCTCCAGAGGGTATTTTGGTCTACTCTTCCAAGCTGGCCACAGATGCCTTAGAAGAGGTGGGAGTACCCACATTTAACACCACCACACAAGAGCTACTGATCGACTGTGGTGAACCACTTTGCATTGCTGGGTAGACATTTGCTAATTTGGGTGGGGGATTTAATAAATCTGCACCATTGTTTCAAATGCCACATAGGCAGATGGAATCCAGCCGTCAAACCTCCAGTTGGCAATTCCAGTGTGCCAACCCCACTGCAGCATCCCCAACCACATCCATTAACAAATTGAGATGCATGTTGGACTGGCCACAGAGGCCCAAGCAGTGATGGATGTGACTGCAGTGCGCTAACATTAGAAACACGATTTAAAGCTTTCGTGACTGCAGGGATTCATCTTCTTGGTTCTTTCGGTAAAGTCACATAGAAGGAAAATAATAAAAATAAAACATAATAAAATAATTCTCACGACGTTTCGGCCACAACGCAAGCAGCCGTCTTCAGGTGGAGAACAGGTCTGTCAAGTAGACAGAGTCTGAATGGCACGCCCCAGGCTTTGAGCGACTATTTTTGCAGGGATGGAGGGGTGAAGAGCGCTTTGACAAAATAATTTGCATATCAAGAGGAATTTAGCATATTTATGGGAAATGCAGATATGCGATTAGTACTACTTGTGAAATGCGTAGGAGGTTTGGCGAGGGGTTTAAAGCCATTATGCCCATGCATTATGCAGGATTAGCAGTATACAGTTGAGTGGGTAGAATAAAACAGTGTAATATGACAATGTATAGTCAATAAGCATATTAGTTGCTGCGGCGCCATATTATTAACATTCCTTCCCTTTATTAATTCTAACCTTACTCCCTCCCTTTGATACTGCTAATCCTGCATAATGCATGGGCATAATGACTTTAAACCCCTCGCCAAACCTCCTACGCATTTCACAAGTAGTACTAATCGCATATCTGCATTTCCCATAAATATGCTAAATTCCTCTTGATATGCAAATTATTTTGTCAAAGCGCTCTTCACCCCTCCATCCCAGCAAAAATAGTCGCTCAAAGCCTGGGGCGTGCCATTCAGACTCTGTTTACTTGACAGACCTGTTCTCCACCTGAAGACGGCTGCTTGCGTTGTGGCCGAAACGTCGTGAGAATTATTTTATTATGTTTTATTTTTATTATTTAATTATTTTCCTTCTACGTGACTTTACCGAAAGAACCAAGAAGATTATAAACACGGTGTTGACGGGTCTAAAATGTTCCACCCCTCCCCCCTTCTGGTACCTGACTCATGCGGCTAAGATGCTTGCCGTGATGGATAAGTATAGTTCGGTAGGCTTCGTATAGCTGCAGGCCCGAACACAGTCAGGTCGAAGGCCGAATACTAGAACTTTCCCATGCCTGTCCTATACCCTCACCACACCATCACCACCACTTCCCTCACTAACCACACACTTCCCGCCACCGCCTGCCTACCATGTCTCGGTCGATGGTCTTCCTGTAGGCGAGGCCCATGTCCTTCCATTGTTCCTTGGTGGCGGAGTCCTGGGGATCGTTGCATCCGTGCAGAACTTCCCGAGCGAGCAGCATCTTCCAGGTGTCCATCAGCTCATTCTCCAGCAATGGTTTATAAGGCCTGGGAAGACAGGGTTGGAGTGTACTAATGATTGATAATAGAGCACTCAAAGATTTGCCCCAATCAGTCCCACAGCGGCAGTCAATCACCTCCTCGCTCTTCTATCGCCACGACCATGGTTACTGTTCCCATGAAATTCACTCAACCAATCCAGAGGACTCGGGTCTACCAGACTGTGGTCAACCACCACATTGCTGAAACTTCCCTCGCACTGCTTCACTTTGGAATTTCCTCCCATCGTCTCTTTTCCCAAGCGCATACAACCGTGTTATTTTTTGTTATTTTCTTTTAACCTATCTACATGACTTTACCGACAAACCCAAGAATAAAACTGGGAACAATTCAAGAAAAAACATTCACTTTCATCCATTGTACTCTCGGCAGTGCCGTTTGTTACGAGCTGCCTGGCGTTATGGGTCTTTAGGGCTGTGCTGAGCAAACGTGTGAATAAAACAATCAGATCGCCCATCTCTAATACAATTCTAATAGTTACCAACACCATCACCACTGCACCATGCCTACCATCTCCACTACTACCGTCACCACCACCACCAACGCTGCTGTCACCAATACCGCCACTGCCTTCATCGCCGTCATAACAACCACCATTGCTACCGTCACCACCACCCACAGCTACCGAAAATACTGCCGCCGCCACCTTCACCACCACCGCCACCACCACCACCACGTACCCGTATACTGCTCGTAGCACACACAACTCCAACGAGTCCTGTGTGTGTGGCCAGTCGCCACCGAAATCGTAGCATCCATCCCAGCTGATCACGCGGCTCTCCTCCAACGTGCTCTGATACGCTCCCCTTACGAGGCCGTTGTGGTCAAAGAAAGCTTTCTCTGCCAAGCCGAGGACTCCGTCCACATCTATGTTGTCCTTGTTCTGTGGGGGGTGAGTGGGTAAAGGAAATATCAAGTCAACGTCATGGCTTACAGCCCCCCACTAACACGCGGTGCATGCATGGAACTCTGTGAATGCTCCGAATGGATTCTTCGTCTCATGGCGTGATGCAGACAGGACAAGTCTGGATGAACATTGCTTAAAAAGACGTCGATTTAAGCGTAAATAAAGCGGTAAACATGAACGTTTAACACGTAGGCTTTCGTCACCAATATTACCCATAAGAGAGGATTTTTTGGGTGAAATCGTGTAAATATAAATGCCTTGTTAAACCCGCCACCACCCGACACAGCCAATGAATTGGCGGGTGGTGGCGGGTTTTAACGATACTGCCTTTCATCCGCGAGTATGTAGCGGCAGGGGCGACTGGATGGCGTTTCAACGCTGCTTCAAAGCGGCCTGCACTTTGGTCGGGTGGTCGGAAGAGGCTGTGCCCTGTACGACGACTCCTTGGGGAGCATTTGAAGCCATCCTGGAGGTGGATCGAGCGACTCTGCCTCGGGCATGCGCTCAAATGGCCGCAATTTTCGACCCACCATCCAATGCCTGCTCTAGGTTTGTGCTGCGGAGGCGGGGGGAGGCCGAGACGCCTCTCGCCTTCCGCAGCGCGCTGCTGGCCTTGGGCCACACAGCTTATCCGCGCATGGAACAGACGGCGCTCGATTCTCTGGCGCTGGAAAGGTTGCTGTCGCTCTCCCCATCACGGAGGAAGGTGACCTGTCGTCCCTGAAGGTGGCCCACTGCATCCAGGCACACGTCAACCTGCAGTGGTGGCCCGGGGTGGCTGCTTGCGCAGGGGTGCCGGAGGATCCGGAGGAGCCTGCGCCACGGGAACCGGAACGGGTCTGCGCTTCTTTCATCCGGAGCCCAAGCGGGAGAGGAGTCAAGGGGCGACGACAGCAGGAGCGGGAGTGCCGAGAGGGACCCCTTCCAGCAAGTGCGGCCAGCTGGGCCACATCGTCAGGGAATGCCGCAACAGCGCTGGATCGCCCACCTCACCTTCGATGTCCTTCGCTCCGCTGACATCCGCTTCCCCGGCCTCGCAGGCAAATCGTGACGCATCAGACACTCGGCCACAAATGTCACCACACACATCTCGGTTGTTGAGCGCATCCGGTTCGCACTTCGCCATCCCTCATCTTGTCGCGGCGTGTGAGCAACGGACTCCGGCGTCGGATGGGTGGCAGCGTAGCAGCGTGTCAGGGTTGCTGCGGCAAGGGGTCATCCGCGGTGGTTGGCTTTATTCAGGGGGAAGAGTGTCCGCGTTGAAAACATTGAGTTGACAGGGCGGGTGTGGGTCTCCAAGACATTGACTGTGCCCTGTCTTTTGGGTACCGAATTTTTCGGGAGAATGCCCCTTAAGATCCTTGCAGATCAAGGCTGTATTGAATTGCCGTTGGGAAATCGGTTGGCCTTTTTAAGTCTACGACTCGGTTAGCAAGGGCTAACGCTACAGTCCAAGACCTGGCGAGGGAAACTGTTATGGCTCTGCCAGGTGCAGATGTTGGTGCCTTTACGATTGCGGAAGCATCTGGATTTGACAGATTTCGAAGGGGTCCTTTTAACCCCCTCTAATACAGCGACTTGTGTTGGTGGGTGCTCAGACCATAGTGACTAGGAGCCCTTTGTGCAAGTGCTAAATGTGGGGCTGGGGGCTTCTGTGCTCCAAGCTGGTACAGTTTTTGCCCATGCAACGGCCGCGCGCTGTGAAAAGGCCTACACGGAGGCTGCAGAGGTCGTTGGCGTGGTGGAGCGGGGAAGAGAGTCGGACGGGGCTTGGATGGACATTGTGCGGGGAAAATTTGGGTTTGTCTGGGGAACAGCGGGGGCAAATTTGGTATAGGCCGCACTTCGCTATTGCAACATCACGTAGATACGGGTCACGCAGCTCCGATAAGGCAGAATTCGTACAGGCTCCGTCCCAGGGAGAAGGACCATGTTCGCCAGGCAGTTGACGAGATGTTGGCTGCGGACATTATTTCCCCCCTCTACCAGACTGTGGGGGGGCTCCCATTGTTTTGGTAATAAAACGGGATGGGAGTCTGTGCTTTTGCGTTGACTTCCGCAAACTAAACAAAATTTCTGTGCCGGACATGTATCCACTCCCTCGGGTGGATGACTCCTTAGATGCCTTGATGGGCGCGCGGTTCTTTTCGACCCTCGATTTGTTGTCGGGGTTTTGGCAGCTGCCCTTGGATAAATAATCCAGGCCTAAAACCACGTTCCGAACACGACAAGTGTTGTTCCAATTTAATTGGGGCTGAATTCTGCTCCTACCACGTTCCAGCGGCTTATGGAAATGATCTTGGCAGGTCTTCAATGGGATTTGTGCCTCATTTACTTGGACGATGTCATTGTATTCGGACGCATGTTTCAGGAGCATTTGTATCGACCGCGGTCCGTGTTTATCCAAGTGCGGGCGGCCAATCTCGAATTTAAACCGCAAAAGTGCCTTTTCTTGCAAACATCGGTGCGGTATTTGGGCCACATTGTTAGCGAGTCTGGGATCCCGACACGGATCCCGACAAAACGGCGTGCGTGCGCACATGGCCAACCCCCAAGTAGTTCGGTGAAATTCGCACTTTTGTAGGGTTCGCGTCATATTATCGCCGGTTTGTCCCCAAGTTCGCGACGATCGCAAAACCGCTCCACGCGCCGACTGCTAAGGGCCAGAGATTTCGGTGGGCGGAGGCGGCTGCGTTTGTCGCGGTGCGTTGATGGCCTCGTCAACACGCCTCCCCTCGTTTACCCTGATTTCTCTCTGCCCTTTGTGTTGGACACGGACGCCAGTGACACTGGAATTGGTGCTGTGCTGTCCCAGGTCGTGAATGGCACAGAAGTGGTGGACTACGGGAGGCATGTGTTGTCTCCCGCAGAGCAGCCCTACTACGTGACGAGCAGAGAACTGCTGGCCATAGTTCATTTTGTGCAGCAATATAGGCCGTATCTTTACGGACGGGACTTTGTCGTGTGCACGGACCATGCAGCCCTTCAATATTCCTTATGTGTTGACCAGCCTTCAGGCCAACTGTCCCGCTGGTTAGAAATTTTGCAGGACTACTCCTTCACGGTCACCCTTACGTCCATGTTGTGCCTACGAGTTAATGAGGCGTAGTCGGATTGGGATTTGCACATTCCCGGTGTCCTGACCGCATTTCGGATGGCCCCTCACGCCTCAACAAGATTCTCCCAGTTTTATCTTATGTATGAGAGGGAGAGTGATCCCCCCATGGAAGCTCAGCTGGGCATGGGATTGGGTAAGAAGAGAGCTGTCATGCCTATGCCCATGCAGGTCACGCTGAGGCGTTTAACGGAGGGTGCGGGAGGCATCTCGGGGAAATTCGGCCAACTCGTGGCACAACGGGAGTCCGAGACCCCATGGACCACTGGGGACAAGGCATGGCTGTATTGTCTCCAGGTACCCCTGGGTACATCCCCTAGATTACACCGGCCGTGGCAGGGCCCTGTTGAGGTGATCGAGGTGAAGAGGCCGCAGTGCGTGCATATACAGGTCGGTCGCCGTCGCTGGTTTGTGCACCCGTCACGGTTAAAACCCTATGTTCTACCCAATGTAGACAGTTCATCTCCATCTCCAGAGCAGCAGGTGTCTGACGAGCCCGGAGGTTGCGCTTCAGTAGAATTGCGTTGTGCCGCCCGCAGGATCTCAGCACCTGAAGTCCGGAAAACCCGACAGCGCCTCCGTGTGTTGGACCGCGCACTTGAGGCCGTTTGTGTGATGTCCCGGTGGTCCCCAAAATGCAGATTCCTGCTCAAGATGGGGGACCGACGTCGAGGACTCGCTCCAAGAGCGTTTTTTTTCCACTGAACCGCTCCCTTCCCATCGTTCAATTGCGTTCCGATGTCGTCTGGCGGGTGGCCACCGCCATGAGCCGGGCTGTGGCTTCCGGTTGATCTGGGGTTCCTTCCCGATGCTCGTAGGCTGCAGCACGCCGGCGGACGTCGTTAATTGTTATGCTTCCCTCGCGGTTCGGGGTTAATATAAACGATTTTTTTTACTGATGTCTGTTAACCCTCCCTGTTATACTAATTGTGTTAGCACACATTCTTGTAAGTCCTTTTTTCCTCTTATTACGTGATTGTTGTCAGCTGAGACGGCTGTTTTTTTTTTCACGGGGGGAGTGATGTAGTGGCATAGCGCTGGCTGCTGGCGGAAAAGGGTAACTGCGGTGTACGGCAGTACTCACGTCAGCAGGCCACGATATATACAAGGGGGACATCTCCGGGAAAGGTCACAGAAGGGGCCCATTGGGAAGACCCGGGAACTCGCTCGTAGGTTCCAGAAAGGGGGTGTGGCCAGGGCAGAGCAAGGCCACGCTGGGAGAATAAGAGGGGCCCCTGTGCAGGACCTCGTGGCTGTTGCTGGAAGTGGGATCCCCGTCATGCTGCTCAATTTCATTGTCGTCACCATCTCGTCATTGCCACCATCTCCTCGTTGTCGTCTCCGTCTTCACCATCTCGGGGCGCTGTTAGTCAGACAGCCTAGCAACTGTTATAACCAAGTAGTGCTGCCGACAATAGACGGTCTTAATAATAGTGTGCACCCACGTAGGGTGTGTGTTATCCTGATGGTGCTTGTTAATAAAAGTGGCTCCAAGTATTACTGCCTCCGAGTTGAGTCACTACACATGCGACCGGTTCAAGTCATGAACATCCCCTCTAGAGTTGGGACAATTCGTCCATCGATGATAAATTATAATTGACTATTTTTCAGTGGATAATTAGTCATATCCCTTCACTCGAGTCCTGTTCTACTAAGACAATGCAGCGTCTCACAGCCGTGGCCGGGATGAACCGAAGCTTTGTGTGGAGCGACAGACCAGCTCGCTTCCACACAGCGTTACGCAGCCGATGAAAAGATAATCCCGATCGACTGATTCGGAGTGAGATACCCATTGTCAAACCGGAGCCGGTCATGAGCACACTGCCCAGGTATGGAAAACTCTCCACTCCCTCCACAACTGCCCCATCACCAAATCGGAGTTGTGGGGGTAAAGTGTTTGATGGCACAAAATACCCAGGCAGGTGCTTAGTTTTGGTGGGGCTGATGGTAAGGCCCCACACCTTAGTGGCATGCTCCAGGTTCAGCAGCAGTGCCTCCAACTCCTCCTGAGTTAGCAGCAATCCCCAACACACCACACTATCACACACACTTTCAAACCCCATCACTCATACTTACACTCCATTAGGAGCCGGTCACACACCCATGGCCTCACCTGCTCCACCATCTTCTTGGCGAGCACCAGCGCCAGCAGCTGCTCGATGTCGGTCTGCTTGTATTCGGCCGCGTCCCCTCCCATCCTTGTGCTCTCCTGCTCCGAGCACCGCCATCTTAACATCTCCCCGCAGTCCCTCTCTCTGGCGGGCGATATCGCTAGCCTGTCGAGATCCTCGGCGTCGTCATTGTCCAAACCGCCGCCACCGCCGTCGTTCATCTCCCATTTCATCGCCACCTCCCCGACGTCCCTTGCCTCGATGCCGAACCGGCTCTTCTTTCTGGCGGGGCGTAGGTACGACAGGTCGGGGTCTTCCGCCTCCCACAGGCCTTGCGGTAGCGGAAAAAAAGATTGCACGTTACTACAGCAGAACGGCGGAGTTTATCATATACGTAACAATGTGTCGGGGGTGCAGGGTAATGGTTTTTTTTTGGCAGATAAGCAGATTCCATTTTTGGTGGAATCCTCCACTGAAAAATCGTTTGTTTGCGATTCATGCAAATACAGCAATCCCTCGCCAACCACGGACTTGCCAATCGTGGAATTAATGTATACACGCTTCATTATTTGTACACCAATTTACCGACCGCGGCCTGGAAATGTGAGTATCCACGGGTAAGCACGGGTCCGCAACACGCATTTACAAATTTTGCGGGGCAGCGGCTCGCCGCGCGACCGTTCACACCTGTGCCACTTCGTAGCTTGTCAGCTGTCCATCTGTTGTTGTGCCATTCACCCCTCCGATTTGCTTTGAATTAAAAACCAATTAGCCGAGCGGTAAACACGGTGTTGAATATTAGGATTAACCATGAGATCACACACTAAATACACATTTTATGCGTTTGTAGTGGTCTATATGTGTGTTTGTGTGAAAAATGTTCTAACAAAAACGATGTTTCAAAATGTTTCTTCAACTTTTAGCATTCACTGAGTGTCCAACTGCCTTTGGTGGAGTGGTGGAACGTGATCTGCACACGGCGCTACGCAGCCGACAACCTGCCTTCGTGCGTCTTAAAATATTTAATGACAAGGTAAAGCCCACTGAGCTATTAGCTCTTTTTCAGAAGCGACCTGGCCACACATAATAGCTCATCAAAGTGGCTTAATATCATAACACGTGGAAATTTATTGAAGCCAAATAATCTAAATGTGTTTCTAAACCTGGGGGGGGGGGGGGGGGGGGGGGAAATCCTCGTGACCATAACGGGGAGAGAAAGAGAGAGAACAGGCGTCGTCAGGCTCTGGGATCGAACCCACGACGTCCTGTGTACCAGAGCAAGGCAGATAACACGACGCTGCACTCTCTCCATTACCAAGGCGAGTGACACACCCGCCGCCGGCGCCCATCATCTGATCTTCGGTCGGCACGGCAATCATGAAGCTGTCGGGCCTGTCCAGGTAGGTACGGAGCGCTTTGCCTGGCACTCGCGTTGCCCTCCTCTTGTGCGGCACCTCCTCTGGCTGGTACGACGACAGTGACGACGGCGGCGGTGGCCACGCTGGAGCGCAACGCAAAAGCCACTCGAAGCAGTGGCGCAGGCGTGAGCAAGGCATGGGCACCAGTGGCAGCGACTGCTTGCCCTTCCAATGGTGGTGGAAGTGTGCTTCCTCCTGCAGCTGGTGCTGAGCGGTGAGGAGTGACTTGAGTCCGAGCGGGGTCTTGAGTGCGGTTGTGTCCGGTGCAGTTGTGTCTACTTCGGTTGTGTCCAGTGCGGTTGTGTCCAGTGCGGTTGTGTCCGACGCGGTTGTGTCCGGCGCGCCGGTGTCTGTGAACATAGCAGCACCGACTCGGGGTTAGTCACACCTGTACCTTTAAAATGTAATCATGGTTACTGCCATCATCACCCACTGTGCTGTACCGCCTTCTCATGGCAAGCCAGGGTATGGGCTCCTTGGCGTCCGCGTGAAGGGAGTTTCGCAACATTTACGCGATCCACCAACCCTCGCCTCCACTGTGCCAGATTGCAGGCGTGCGCCACCACCGCCCACCTATGGCATCGGGAGAAATGGTCACGGCTTGGAATGCAGTGGATTGATCATTGCCGATGATGATAATTTGTTGGTCCACCAGTCAACACCACTTGTCCCTGCTGGCCCACCAGCTTCCTGAGACCAGTATGCATGAAGATCCCATGTTCACGTCTCTAGTCAACGTAGTGTTTGTTTCACGTTGTGTATTCGTGTTGTTTTAGGGTTAGGCATATTCAACATTTCTCCTACAGGGTATCCATGCCCCAGCTTGTTTCCAAGACCACTACTCACTGCCAATGACGATTCTTGGCTCCTTGAAGACAAACATGGCCTTCAAGTTGCTGCTCTCCACATCGTGAGATTCTGCAAGAACACAACGGGGGAAAAAAAGAGATGATGCATGCACGGGATATTAGCACTCAAACCGACATTTGATGCTGTAATCAAACAATATAAGATGCTCTGGAATGTAAGACACTTACATTTGTACCCCATCTTAATATGGTTGTACAACCATGGTCACGCACATCAAATTATAAGACGCACCCATAAATGTTGCTTTAAAATACCAGTGGAAAGAGTGTGTGCTATAATTCAGAAAATATAGTAATGTTCGAGAATGTACAGACAGGCCTTGTCAATCCACTGCTGAATGAGATCTCCCCAAGTTGCACAGGTCCATCTGACCGAACCTGCATAATGTTGATCGGTGCAGGTTGGTGCAGTCAAGGGAGCATAAATGCTGGAGCATGTAAGTAAGAGTACAACAATGAATTTTGCCGTGCTACCCCTTTGCTGACCCCATGTGAAGCACATACCTCGCTAGTCATGTATGACAAATACGGCATTGCATGGACGTATGTCCATATCCGTCCATGAAAACTTCGAGACTCCGAGATCCGACAAGACCGGGTGACTGTACAGTGATTTGGTCACAGACGACTGACAAGTGCTACATTGTTGGGTGTGTACCTCATTATGATAATTTGTATGTAATTAATATTAGATTAATAATTGTTCATCACAAGTGTATTTAAGTTGCTCTCTTTTATAGTGCAATTATGTTGAGCTCATTAACAGGGCCTTCATTCCTCTCAGCAGAGTTATGGTCTCGGAATGGAGGCTTTCATTCTCATGCCTAGAAATATCTAAAAAAAGTGATATCGCATCTGAGACCTTCACAGGACATAGGTCCTTTGTCAGAAATAGTTTGTAAAAATGTTGGTCCTTGCAAGTAGCAAAGAGCATACATGGATATGTAGTGTTTTTATTTCACGCGGACAACTTATTTTTCTATGTCACTTTTTTTTAACAGAACTCCTTGTGTTCGACACCCCGTATATCCGTCGTGATTTTTTCACTTAATCTGCTCGCCTGCTTGGCTCCGCTCGCTTCGCTCTAGTTTCTCGACTGCTAGCCTTCCGCTATATACTCTGCTAGCTTCTCCACTGCAAGCATTCCGCTATATACTCTGCTAGCTTCTCTACTGCTAGCCTTTCTACCCTCGCCTTTCCGACCTCGCCCTTGCCTCCAGTGGGAGTTAAGCCATCACCGCTGGAGGGCGAGGTGTGGAGAGCGGGGGCCTTGGACTTCTCTTGTCTTCACTCCGACCAACTCAACTCCCTCTCTCCCACGCTCCCGTATATATCCCTCTCCTTATGAACTCCTCATTAATTACGCTGGCAACTTCCTGTCGCCTCACGCCCGTGGCCTGCATTTGCAGCCAGCCAATCACTGCTATGCATCTTAATTAGCCATCTCCTTTCCGTTGCTCTCGCTCACCGCACCTGTTTGCCCTGTTTCGACCTCACTGTCCGTAACTTGAACATGCGTGCACACCACTTGCAAACCCCTGCGCGCGTTACTCCACTACAGATATAACATCCGGCCTCCCATTCTAAAGACTTAGGTTCTACATCGTCCCATGGTCTGGTTGCATTAACGGTAATTAATACTGAAGAGAAGGAGTGTGATTTAAAGATTGAAAATTGCCATTTAATATTGAATTCAATGTTCTCAAGTCAGTCTATGTGCAATGTGAGGTTATATCCGGGTCGTTGACGGATAACAACTCGTCACGATGATTGGCTCTGCCGGTCCTGGTCCATAGCCAATGGGGGGAAGCCTAGGGACGTGGCCCTGACGTAATGGAAAGGTGACAGCTGTAAGTAGAGGATTGGTTCTGTTGGCTTTGGCCACAGCCAATGGGGAGATGAGTCAGGGGCGTGGTCCCGGGAGCCTACGAGGGAGCCTGGAAGATTCCATAGAGGCTAACCAGGATTGGTGGAAACGTACCACGTGACCCGGGTATTAAATAGGGGTGGAGACGAAGGACACGTGGTCAGAACGGGAACGAACGGAGGAGGGGGCCACGCGTGAGCGGGGTTCCGGGTTGCCACGTGGCGGCGCGTCTCTCTCTCTATCCCTCTCACACTGCCGGTCAGCAGCGTGAAGGAAAGCTGTAATGAAAAGTGAATAAAAAACCGGATTCCAGAAGTCGCCTCAACGACCTTTATTAAATATGCGAAGGGCATGGCTCCCATGGGCTACCTCACCAAGAGGACAGACTGGAAAAATGATAACTTCTGATATATTACTGGTAGAATGATTGTTTTTTGATATATTGCGAGGTGCACAGACTTTGTTTTTCCAGACTGGTAGAGAACCGTCTGGTTTTTCCGATATTTTCCGTATTCTGTTATGTTCTCGGAGAGTAAAAATTTCGCTCTAACGCCAGTGCTTTCCCATATTTTTAAGGCTGAGGCTATGGCATAAAGTTTGCATATTTTTCTGTACTTGATAATGTAGATTGGTTTTGATATATCTGTAATAAAAGGACTCAGACACTTCTTGCTGACTCCGTGTCCTTTATTTGGGGTTCGCGTTCTCCTTCCCACACGGCACTCCTCCTGAGACTCTCTCCCTGGCAGCCCCACATCTGCCTTCGCTCCCGTAGCCTTCCACGCTCCTGCAGCTCCGCTGCAGGCTCTTGGTACAGCCCTCTGGCTGCTCCCCCAGCAGCTCCATCGCTGCTCCCTGTTCCTCCGTGCGTGGCGATCTCGCCACCTCCCAATGTCAGCCCTTCGTGGCCTCTATGGCTATCTCGCCATTTCCTACCTCAATCCTCCACTCTCTCTTCCACCCCGCTGGCTGGCGCCGTCATGAGCCCCTCAGCCACCAGGCTGAGGCACGGCGACCACCCAACGTGTTCACCACCCTTCACTCCCCCGACTGACCCAGATAGCTTCCTGTCTCCCCGCTATAACTTCTCCCCCACGTCACCCTGACTCCTCCCTCTCGGATCGTCATATCCGCCCCGCCCATTTACGCCCGCATTACATATCTGTTAAGGAGTGCAAACACATATACGTGGGCACATTTTGTCTACAAAATTGCATGAGTGCATAATATATTAGTCTTTGATTTGTGAATCCGATACAAGGCATACCGACTCTGATTTATCGCCTGAAAGGTCTGAGAGTTGTGCAGAAACCTTCATGTCTGACACCGGAGACAACGCGGGGGACTCTGCCGACTGGAGTGATGGGCATCTGCCGTGCGCCAGCGCGGGCACAACCAGCGGTCAACTGCGAGCCTCATCCGCGATTCGGGCTCCAGTGCAGAATATACTGAAGACACACCGAAGAAGCGAACTGCACCCTCGCTGGCAGCCTTGAGACAGTGCATGCAGAGGCGTAACCAGATGCAGACTGAGTGATTGCAAGCCAAGAATGGCGAGAGACTGCTGCCTTAACGTCACCTGTGCGGAGGAGATATTGGTGCTCACTCAGAGGGAGCATCTAGCGGTTGCCTTGTAACAGATCTTTTCTAATTCGTCGTCGGCATCGCAGCCTCGGGAGACCATATATTTCTTATGCCTTGGGGGTTAGGTCTTAGCACAGCGTCTGCTGTGGCTGTGAAGTCCAATCCGTGAGAGGCAGACTCGGCCACAGTTGTAGGCCAGGGGGGAGGGGGGGGGAGTACACTTTAAAGGGCTCATACATTCGCTGATCATCCACCTAGACATTCGTATTTTTCTTCGTCATATATCGGTTCATACAGTTTCGTCGGTTGGTCACGTGTCTTTCATGTATACTGCACACGAATAATGATGCAAAGTTGATGTTATTTTGACACTAGTTGATGCTTTGATCTATTAAATACTCAGATTTGTGGTGTACCGAGTGCCTGAGTGGTTTATTTCTGTTTCATGCTTGTAAAAACTTGTACTGCTGGACAGATCTATGGACCTGGTGACCACTGTGGAGGTCTTATAACTGATGTAAGAAAACCCCAAGACACGAGCTTAAATGATTAACGACCCATTTATATATTTACGCGATCTAACCCAAAAAACCTTTATATTATGGACGAGCTTAAATATTGTAAAACCCTCCACATACAACAGTATTCACATGCACTCACTCTCATTCACTATCACTCCGGGTGGGAACACCAAGAGAAAGCCTCCATCTTCCAGAAACTTGACCAGCATCTTCAGAAAGAATGAAAACAAGAGTACAGTGAGACCGAATACGAGCAGAATTTGGTTGTTTCTCCGCACACAAATAACAATGTTAAAATCTGCCAGTCAATTGGCTTTCCAGTTTAATAATAATAATTTATACAGCACTGTAACATGGCAAGCCATTACGAGTGGCATGACAATATTATCAAGTGGCATTTCTTTAAAGCAAGCACTGGTTTAAATTTCCTGCATCTCGCTAGGTGTTATTGGCAAGAGCACTCGATATAAAGTATGGGAGCGCACGATCAATGCAAAAAAGCAATGCCCTGATGCAAACCTATCATTAAATGATAAGAATATGCACGCAGAAATCCACACATGGGACGGTGTGTTGTCTTGGTGTGGTCTGGCACTGTTGTTGTTTTGCTGCCTTGCCCAAGCTTGCATTTGTGTTGACAAATCGGTAGGAATTCATTTATGTCATTTGTGCTTCTATACTTTATATTTATTTTTAGCGACTTCCTGACCTTTTCTCAATATTGATCTTACAGGCAGTCTCCAGGTTACAGAAGGGTTCGGTTCCCGAGAATTTCTGTAATCCGAATTTTCCATGTCAGAAACTGAAAAGTGTTCTCCCAAAATGAAGATAAAATCCCTTATTCTGAAATAGTTGTGCCTCCCCTACCGTTTTCTCTCAGTACTGTATCGCGCTGTCGTTCGTTTTCTATCACTACCTGCATCTTCCGGATTCTTTAATTTGACCGAATATCTACCCTAACACTACCCATTATTTATTAAACCAATGGACCATATACTGTATCCAATTATTGATTTTTATATTAAGTGTTAACAGAAAGCAGTCACTTCCCAAAGTTCACCGTGCATTCGGCAAGGCCTAGATTTCACAAACATACACACAAAGACGGAATAGGCTCGTCGACACGCATGCATACATACATACACACAGACGTACACAACAACCGCCATTCGCCACTAAGTGGCGGTGATGTCACCACGACGCTTATGCCAGGTTATGTGCACCTTGAGGCCACGTGAAGTTTCGAACGCCCACTGGCAGGAGGTCACGGGGCTGACCCAGGTGCCACGGGTCGACTGACTGAGATGACTGGCTGATGCAATACCTGTGCCCCCTACTGTGCCAACTTTCTGTGCTTTAGCCATCCGCTCGTTGTTGTGAGCGTCGCTCCTCCGCCCTCTGTTGTTGTTGGAGAGCGACTGCCTCCCAACTGCCCAGTAGCATCCTTCACGAGCCTCCTCCACAGAGGCCGATCTTGACACCGCTGGTACCAGTCATCGGCAAGTCCACTCAGCTCCACGTCCTCCTGTACCACATCACTACATCTCTTCTCTAGCCCGTACCACGCCCGTTGAGCCCCCTCGATCCGGCCGAACAAAAGCTGTTTAGGCATGCAGTGGCTGGGCATGCGGGCTACATGACCCAGCCAACGCAGCCTTGCCTGCCGGAGGAGCTCACCGATGGGACTTTTTAAGGATTTGTGAGCTTCTCACACAATCCAGCCTGGTTAAACCCAGGATCGTAGACAGGCCAGACTAAATGTTTCCAATCTACGAAGATGCTCCATTAGGAGGGTCCACGCTTCGCAAGTGTAGAGAAGGGATGGAATGACCGTGGCCAAGAAGACCTGGAGCTTCGTGCGGAGCGACAGACCAGGTAGCTTCCACACAGCGTTACGCAACCGATGAAAAGATAATGCCGCTCGACTGATTCTGAGTGAGACTGTTAAACCGGAGCCAGTCATGATGACAGTGCCAAGGTATGGGAAACTCTCCACTCGATCCACAACTGCCCTAACTCCCATTGGGAGTTGTGGGGGTGGAATGCCCGATGGTACAAAATACCCAGGCAGGTGCTTAGTTTTGGTGGGGCTGATGGTAAGGCCCCACCTTTCAGTGGCACACTCCACGTTCAGCAGCAGCGCCTCCAACTCCTCCGAGTGAGCAGCAATTACCAGATCCTCGGCATACATAACATGGTTGACCAATAGGGAGCCATCCCTTGACCGCACCCGGGCATCGATCAGCCTCCCATTGTATATGTACCAAATGGAAATTCCTCCGGTACAGCTATTGAAGGCTTCACGAACTATGTGGTCAAAATAGATGTTAACTAATGTGGGAGCCAGAGGACATCCCTGTCGCACCCCAAGGTGTACGGGGAATGGCTTTGACTCCTGGCCACGTAGTTTTACCCGGGCCCGCTCACCATCATTAAGGTCCTTAATGAGCGTGAGGAGAGGGTCAGGGACTCCGAAAGCACGAAGAACAACCCAGAGCCCAGGCCTATTGATGGTATCATAGGCCTTGACCAGGTCAATAAAGTAGAGATGTAGGTCTTGTTGGAATTTCCTTCACCTCTGCTGTAGCAGACGGACAGAAAATATGGCATCTGTGCAGGACCGTTCTTTCCTGAAACCGTATTGGGGCTCCGCAAGCCTCTCCTCAGCATGCCTAGAAAGTCGATGTTGAATAATCCTTGCTAGGACCTTTCCCGGCACACTGAGGAGTGAGATGCCCCTGTAGTTGTTACAGTCTGTGCGGTCCCCCTTCTTAAAGAGGGGGACCACCAGGGCAACCTTCCAATCCTGCAGAACCCGTCCAGTGGCCCAGACTGTTGTTATGATGTCAGGTAGGGCAGTCTGCATACAAACGCCACCTTCCCTCAGCATTTCGTTTGAGAGATCATCTCTGTCCGGTGCCTTTCCTGGTCTCAGACTACGGATTGCCTTCAGTACTTCCTAAAAAGATGGCACCTCAGCCAGCCACTTGCAGGGGGTGACTACTTCCAATATTTGAGGGACTGCAGCCTCAGCAGGGTCATCCCCACTTTGCCCCATGATGTTTTCCAGGGTGAGGGATTACCCCTCCCCCCGGACCTCACAGAAATGCTCAGCAAATCTGCAAACCTCTTCCTATACATACACAGTTACACATACACACAATACATACTGTATAAAAACAAATTACCTAACGCTACAAACAATTATATTTTCCTTAATGCTCGTAAAGCTCGGGCTCGGTAAAGGCAGCGTAAGGTGGGGCTTACGCCTCGCGTAAGGTGGCTGCCCACCCTAACGCTCGCTCCACGGTATTCATCCGCAACCTCACTACTCTGCACTATTTGTGTTGACGTAACTATTTCCGCATGTAGAGCATTTCCGTAAAGTCGGATTTCCGTAAGTCGGGTCTTTCATAACCCGGGGACTGCCTGTATATCGTTTTTTGTATTATTAGTTAATGTAACTCGCTGACCCGTCCCTACTCGACATCTGTGAAAAAAAACTTCAAAGCTCATCGGATTCCTCCAAGATAAATGATTCTGATTCTGACATATAAACAGCATTCAGTCCATTAGTCTATTGCTTTTCAGACCAATGTTACAACTTAGTGCACAAGTTATATATCTCAGACAATGGAAGCAACATGATCGATGATGGCGATGTCCCCGAACCCCGCCGCCCATCGTTTCCTGTCCAGCAGCACACGTGGGAACACCTGATGACGGACGCTTGTGTTGCGCACGAAATGTCATGATTTATTTTATACCTACGTGACTTTACCGAAAGAACCAAAGAGTATGGGAACAAGGGTGATTTTTTTTCTACACACCTATTGTCAATCGTGCCACCCGCTAAATTAACTCATTCTAAGCGACAATCGGTGGAGTTAACCCATTTCTGAAATAACTGGACGGCCCAGCTCCACCGAAACCTCACCGTCTCTTCCCTCTTCAGCTTCGCCTGCAGAGCTTCGAGCCGCGGCTGCGAGGTGTACTCGTAGGCGCTGGACATCTCAAACAGGCAGCAGTACCACTTATACACGTTCACTGCACGCGGCACACACAAAAGGCACCATGTTAAGTTGCTTCATAGTCCGGGGAAATACCGCAACCATAATCCCTATAGCCGCCACCACATCCCTACCACCACTATCACCGTCACCACAACCACCGGCATTATTGGTGCCACCGTCACCTCCACCACGACCACCACCATCCTGACCGCCACTACCATCCCTATTGCCACGACAATTCTTACCGCCACCACTGCCACCATCACCAAGCACCGGCACTACTGCTGCCAACCATCGCCTCTCCACTGCTGCCACCGTCACCTTCACCCACGCCACCACCATCCCTACCGCCACCACCATGCCTACAGTCACCACCGCGACCATCACCACAACCAAAGGCACTAATGCTGCCACCGTCGTCCACAGCCACTGCAACTGTAATGCAGTTCGTTAATCAATCTCAGCGAGTAACATCCTGCTCTTTAATCATAGGATGACGACGTCACTCAGCTACCAAGCAACGTTTTAATAAATGCTGAGAAAACGCTATAAAAAAACACTGTTTTGAACATATATGTATATATTTGGGGAAGAACAATACATAGTGCTTTATGCGATGCACCTGAGCATGGCTAAAACTTGTGGCGAGTGCCATCTAAACAGGCCTTGACCAACCCCCTTCATCACCCAGCACTGTCCCATGTAGTGAAGTGTAATCAAATAACCCCAACAGTTTACCGGCTCAGAGAAGCCTGCATCCAACAGTGGGTTGACAAAGGACTGCACATTGCAATAAGGTGGGGACCATGAAGTGACAAATTATGAGTGCACTCAAAATAAAAAAAAGCATTGCCAGGTCAAAAATTTCCCCCTCTAGTACTCAATTAGCATGGCAGCTCATCTGGCCACTGCGGCCATATTAAGTCGCGGGGCTGTATTTGAGAGATGACCCTCAAACTTTACCAAACTCACCACATACACTCAAGCACTCCCATCGCCACAACTTCATGTGGCCACATGGGTGGTACGAAATTAAGTTGCGGGAGGGCCGTATTCATCCCGTGAGCCTTAGGTTCAACTACTCCTGTCTTACAGCTTCACAATACTCGCGCTACACCCTCCGTCGCATGCCCACTTCCGGATCGCATTAAAAGAAGATGTGGGCCACGTCAGGTCCGTGGGCGCGAGTGGTTTGTTTCATGCAAGGGGGCGCGCACACGCGCGTGCAGCAATTACCTTCCTTGCTGTTGGCGTAGAGGTATTTCATGAAGACACGACGGGGCAGCATTTTCATCACGTGCTCATTCCTCACCGTGTTGTCCACCTCAATCTTCCCCGGGCTGCAAAATGGGCACAAAATAAGTTTTTTTAAATCAAAATCCGAAGTTAATTTCCTACCGAGTAAAGCCCACTGAGCCGAGAAGCTCTTTCTCAAGGGCAACTCGACCGGCATACAAACCATTTCACAATTACAGATTTTAAAAACAAACTTAATTATAGCAAGCATGGTGGCAAGATGTTGACTACCTCGCCTGGTATAGAGGAGGTCACGGGTTTGATCCTAACCCTGACGTCTATATATTTGGAGTTTGTATGTTCGCTCCATTGTCGTGTGGATTTTTCCTCTGGTTTTTCCTTCCACATTTAAAAACATGGTTGCTATACATTTCCACATGATAAGCCACTTCATTACTTGGTAAATTAAAAAAAAGTTATAAGATGCTTTCAAAGACCACGCGTGTGAGCGGCTCAGCCATGGCTCCGCTCAGGATCCGCTCACATGAAACATCGTGATATATTATTTTTCTACCTACGTGACTTTACCATAAGAACCAAAGAGTATGGATTAATGCAGTCACAAAAGCTTCAAATCAAGATTATTTGTATTTCTCTCAATTTCAATGGATTCTCTAATTAGTCTTGGCCAGTAACAATTAGTTTTACACAACACTTCAACGTTATCACAATCAATTGAGTGGCCTTGTTGGCAAGCATGTTCTGCCACTGCCGACAGTTGTGTTTGAAATAATGTAATATTTCTTTGGTGTTCTTTTAGTCATACGCTGATGTTACGTCCCGTCTGTCCAATATAGCATCTGCCACGTAAGCAATTAATCCGATATACACCTTCTGTTGATAAATTAGGTAATTCGTCTTTAGTACAAGATATCAATTTTTGAATTTTGTGTACTGTACCAAATCTTACTTTAATGTTTTGCTTTTGCAGAATATGGGCTAATTTGCCAATTACTCCTGAGATGTGGTATTTTAATTGTTTTAATAATCGGATTCACTTTCAGCAGTGTTGCTTCGAATCGTGATTTGGCATTCAGAGCTCTGTTAATTTGAGCATTATTGTAGCCATTCTGTCGTAGTACTTCTTTAACATGTTTAATCTCTCTCCCTAGACTTTCACCATCTGACACTGTTTTAGCGCGATGTATGAGCGTCTTGATAAGAGGATTTCTGAGCTGGGTGATGATGTGAATCTGCATTCAGAAAGGCATCAGTGTGCGTTCCCTTTCGGTAAACGCTGTGTGTTATTTTGCCATTTAGGTCATGTCCAAGCCAAATATCTAGGAAAGGGAGTGTGTTATTCACCTCCGTTTCAATGGTGAACTGGATTGTGCATTGAAATTATTTAGAAATGCATTAAGTGCATCTTTACCATGTGGCCAGACAACCAAAGTGTCATTAACATATCTAAACCAAAAACATGGTTTTAATGTACTTGAGGCAAGTGCTCTTGTTTCAAAGTTCTCCATGTACAGATTTGCTACAGCAGGAAATAAAGGAGAGCCCATTGCTGCTCCTTCCTTTTGTTTAAAGAAATCACCTCTTCATAAGTAGTATTGTTAAAACAATGGCCAACTATACCCTTTGTTAGTCACATAGGTAGAAAAATAATAGATCACGACGTTTCGATCACAACACAAGCCATCGTCATCAGGTGGGACAACCACAGCAATAAAAAAAACTGCTGAAGTAGGCGAGAGATCTGCCGTGGCACGAGATTATATAGGCCTTGGCAGCAGGGGGGGGAGAGAGAATGGTCAGCTAGTTTTGGATTATCTTTTGGTAAACCTGTATTCTTTACTAATGTATCAATTTAAGCGCCTCATTAACTATAAAATTAGTGAATAGAGAAATCACATAAAAACTCAGAATATCATTACGGTTATCTTTAATCACATTCACAAGATGTTCTGAATTTATTATGAATTAAGATGTCCTACTGATGTATGGCTGTATTTGTTTAGTTATATATTTTGCTAATTTATATGTGGCAGAGCCAATGGTACTTACTATGGGTCGTAATGGGATGTCGATTTTACGAATCTTTGGTAGCCTATACAGTCTTAGGTGGTTGAAGCATTTGGCTTAAATTGGGTTAATGAATTTGCAATGATTGCAGTAGTCTTACGTTCTAAAGTATTAGTTGGATCTCGTTTAATTTTAATGTAGGTACTTTCTAATAGTAAATCTTAATTTTATTATTATAATCGGCTCGTGACATCACTACAGTAGTGCGGCCTTTATCAGATGCCAAGATTTGAATATCTTTATTTAATCGAAGCTCTCTTAAGGCTTTTGCTTCATTTGAGCTAATATTTACTTTTGGTACTTTACTTTTCTCAATTATTTTGGCAACCTCGTACCTAGTCATCTCTGCCTCATTATGTGGAAGGTGTCTTACTGCTGATTCTACCTCAGCAATTATCTCATCTACTGGAATTGTGCGTGGGGTAACGGCAAAGTTAAGGGCTTTAGAAAGGACGGAAATCATGTCGCAGGTTGAAACAGTGTTACTTAACCTTCTTGGTTCTTTCTACGTGACTTTACCGAAAGAACCAAGAAGATGAATCCCTGCAGTCATGAAAGCTTTAAATCGAAATTTAAGTGTTACTTAAGTTCATTACAGTTTTTAAATTGTTCGTTTTTAGTTGGGACTTGTTTGTTATGAAGTCTAGAGAATTTAGTAATTTGGTTAACTGATTATTAATCGTAACAATGAACTGATTACTAATCTATTATATGATTACGTGTTAGACTAGTGTAATAACGCGGGCTGATGACAGGAAGGAGTACTGACAGCAGGGGGCAGTATACACGTCAGGAGGAGATCAAAAGGGAAGCCAAGGACAGGGGTCCATCTGGAAGCCGAGAACCCGCTAGTAGGTTCTAGAAGGGGGGCGTGGTGAGGACGGGGCGAGGCCACGCCAGGAGGATAAAAGGTGGCCCAGGACGGGAGCTCGGGCCTGTTGCTGTGAGTGGACCCCCCTCGCCGTGTCGCTGTTCGTCACCTTTGTCGCCGCCGTCTCGACCACCTGAAGACGCCGCGAGCTAGCCACCCTGTCAACTGCTAGACAGTGCCAACAAGAGACGGATGTGTGACTGGCGTGTAAGCACATAGGGCATCTGTAGTCCCCTGATGTGTGGGAATAAAGGAGGTGTCTTAAGAACCCCATCTCGGAGTGAGTCACTGCATTACCATAGAATCATTAGATGCTACTTTAGAGTTAGTAGATACTACTATACAGTCAGTAGATACTACTGTAGTCAGGAGATACTACTATAGAGTAAATAGATACTATAGATTCAGTAGATACTATAGTCATTAGATACTACTGTAGAGTCAGTAGTTACTACTATAGAGTCGGTAGATACTACTACGGTCAGTAGATACTACTACGGTCAGTAGATACTACTACGGTCAGTAGATACTACTACGGTCAGTAGATACTACTACGGTCAGTAGATACTACTGTAGTGAGTTCTAGTGACGTCGGAGATGGATCTTGGAGGCAACACTTTATTTAAAACAAATACTTGGCAGTACAGCCAAAATTCACTCAGGGCAACGACCCTTCTAACCACTGCCTGGGGAAGTACTGCCTCCAGACTAACGTGCCCTATCACAGGACAACAACTCTGGGTCCTCCGGCTATGGGTGGCTAGGGGAGGCTACTCTAACCTGACCTAGCCAAGGTGTGGGTTTCCGACCACTGGCCCACTCGAACCCGGCCCTCACAAGGACGTCGGGCCAGGGGTTCCCAGGGTCTCACCACTGAGCCACACAAAGTCCCAGCCCTTACAAGGGCAGGGGTGCTAGGGGTCAGGGTCCTATCTATCTGGTTTTCTGGCTTCTGTCTTAAACTGACCACGGACCCTTCCCGGGGTCCAGCTTTTATACCCAGCACCCGTGCATCAGCCCTGGCTCCGCCTACCTTCTAGAGAGTTCCAGAGGGGGCTCCGGGGGACCCCAGGACACCCTGTAGCCCCCTCCTATTGGGAGGGGTCCTGGGGGATACTGGAACCCTCGCAGCCCCCACCTGCTTTTGGGATAGGGATATAACGACTGCCCCTGCAGGTAAGTGTAGACAGCCCATGGACATCGCTACACTACTACAGTCAGTAGATACTACTGTACAGTCAGTAGATACTACTGTAGTGGTATTGCACTGGCTGCTGGAAAAAAAGGGGACGTGCGGCGTATGGCAGTCCTGACGTCAGCAGGCCAGGATATACACGAGGATCTAGGGAAAAGGTCACAGAACCGGCACACCAGGAACCCCCTAGTAGGTTCCAGAAAAGGGGCATGGCCAGGGGCGGAGCGAGGCCACGCTGACAGTATAAGAGGGGCCCCTGTGGCGTGGGCTCCCCGTCATCGCCATTCTTCTCGTCGTCATCTCCGTCTCTACCATCTCGGGGCGCAGCTAGTCAGACAGCCTACCAACTGTCCTGGCTGAGTAGCATCGCCGATAATAAACGGACCAAATATTAAGTGTGTTAATCCCGATGGTGCTTGTTAATGAAGAAGCGCCTCCAAGTCTCATCGTCTCCGAATTAGTCACTACACTACTATAGTCAGTATATACTACTACAGAGTCTGTAGATACTACTACAGTCAGTAAATACCGCTACAGTCAGTATATACTGCTGCAAAGTCAGTAGATACGACTATAGAGTCAGTAAATACTGCTATAGTCAGCAGATACTGTTTTAGTCAGCAGATACGACAGCGATACCTTGACTTTCATCCAATTGACTTTCGTCGCTTCGCTTTTTCGGCCGTTTTCAATTATAACCACATTTCAAATTTCGCCCACGTGGTTTCCTCTTTCTTCCGATTTCATCCAACCTTCCACGACGTTCGCGCCACGCGCCATCTTTTTCGTTCAGTCTTTGAATAGAAGTCGTTCAGTGAGCATCTCTTATATTTGTTCATTCATATATTATTAATACTGTACTTATTTCTGTGATAATAATTTAAACAATTCATAGTTATTTTTGTGATAACAGTATAATAATACAGTGTTTACTTAGGCAAAAATAAAAGTATTTAAAGGCATAAGCCGATTATTTATTTATTTAGTTTTTTTTATTCTTATGTTTATTTAACTTTTATTTCTGTTTATTTAAGTTTCACACGCATGTGTTATATAGTTATTGTAGTTATTTGCATTTACGTTTTTATATTTACTGTAGTTATTTGCATGTACGTTTTTCGCCGGCCAAAATTAATTTGCAAGTTAAATAAAAGCTCTGCTTTGATAATGAAAGTGCAGGGTATTCCTGTATAGAGTCAGCAGATACTACTATAGAGTTAGTAGTTGCTACTATAGTCAGTAGATACTACTGTACAGTCAGTCAGTAGATGCAACTACAGAGTCACAATAGATACTACTCACTATTGTATGTGGGGTGTGTAGGTATATATGCCTACGGGAGGGGGGGGGTTAAAATATTTTTTGATGGGGGGGGGGTAAAAATATTTCTTGAGGGGGGGGGGGTTGACAATTTTCGGAAACCTTTAAGATCAACTATTAACCACCCACGTTCTATTACTTTTTGCTTCAGGACTTCTGCAAGCCTCTTATAATTTTGTTGATGGACAAATGGACAGACAAACGGAATGCCGGACTTTCACAATAGCTTCGTATTTGTGTATGTTATGTTTTTAAGAGAAGACAAGTTTTGAAATATATTTTTCCCCCAGGCAACGCCGAGTACTTCCTGCTCGTACATACATAATTGTCTCATTTGTTGCAACTGGGAGCGGCCTTGTTCTCGGCACAAACATGCATACAGGCAAGCCACTCTTTAAGTAGATGCCCTTTATTAACCGAGAAGATCCTCTGCAGAATCTTTTAAATAATAATTAATATATTTCGAATTACTTAATTATTCAGAGTTGCAGGACACGTTTTAAGGAGAGTCCTGCATAGGGTTTTTAGTTTAAGATGTTTTCAGCCAATGAATAATGAGCATTTATTTTAAGTGTCGGAGGAACCACAGCACCCGGAAATAACTGACGCGCGCAAGGGGGCAACACTTATCCCCCTTACAGATGTAAACAAATGGAAATTAGTAAACTTGCTGTTGACTGCCTTATCCTGACGAACCAGGGTATGGGGCACCCCCTTCCTTGACACCCACAGGAAGGGTGTTTTACAACATCTGTGCGGTGATCCACCATCCCCAGCCTCTAGTGCTGGATTACAGGCAACGCGCATAGCCACCACCGCTCGGCTCCTGCTACGTTGGGATATTTGGTCAATGTCATACAAGTGCACTTAGCACACAGTAAGAAAACTGGAGTACCCCAAGAAAACCCAGCAAGAGAACGAGCAAATTATATTGAAGAGCACCAAGTAGATCCAAGAATCCATTGTGGCACTGCCACCTGTTCGCCAGCGTTGGAGGCGAAAGGTACTCACAGTGCGATGGGCAGCACGGAGAGCTGCATCGACTTGAGGGTGACTTGTCCGAGGTTCTGTCCCTTGTTCATTAGCTGGCCTTCCCACACAATGTAATGTCGTTTCGGTGTGACCTTAGCTGCGAAACAAGCAAAAATAAATAAACAGGCTGGCAAACCAGTCTTTTAAGGCAGCCCCTCCCCAAGCCCCAACCCCCATAGGAAGTGGCCAGGTAGTTCAGAAGTCAAAGAGCTGAGCCGGCATGCTTGAAGCTCCTGGGTTCGAATCCGTGTTTCAGCCCGGTTACCGAACAGGACACATAACTCCCATTACATTAAATGTAGATGTGCAATTAATGTGGTTCAATTCCAGACTCTTGATATAATTAAAACTTGTCTGTCATGAAACAGATTACTCTCTGTAGAATAGAGGATGGGAAGGTGCTGTGCCCTACTGGGTGGATCAAAGGTCACCCTGAAGGGATCTCAGAAGTAGTTCTTGGACTCCACTTCTCAATAGCGGAAGGCTACAATGAAAAACCACATGGTTTTGTCTCAAGACATGATGCTGATGGCACAATTGGGATAAAATTGGCAAAAATATAAATGTAATTAAAAAGGCAAATGCATTAAGGAACTTGCCTGTGGAAACCCTGAAAATGCGCACTGAAGTAGATGGGCATGTAATTGCAATAATTAGCCACTGTCAGCTACCACAAATCGTGTAACCATCGCGAAAGCATGCGTAACAGCGGCAGTGAAAACCAAATCAATAACACCAGTTTTTTTTTTACAAACAAGCACCAATAAATAATGATCAAGAAAGTCTATGATTTAATTGCTGAGGGAGGCTGTGGTGGGTGCCACAAAATAATGAATTAAGCTAAAAGTTATCAATCACCAAAAAATACAATACTTCCTTTAACCAGGAAAGCCTTTCCATGTACAGGCACTTGATTCACATGGGGTATTTGCTCGGGATGTTTAGCCCAAGATTGTGACCTCGTTATTAAGCAATACACATGAGTTAATATAAATGAAGAGCCGTTGTGCGAGTGTGTGGTGGCAGTCTTTAGCAAATTAATCAATGGTGTCTTTATACCTGTGCTCTGGACAGTGGGTCGGCTGTGAAGAGAGAAAACAAGAACATCATTGTCTTTGCGCGACCGACTTGCTTAGGCTTACACAATGGGTGTTGTGCAATTTTAATCGCATCTCAAAAACCACGTAAAACACAAGGTCTCAGCGCTATAATAAAATTCTGCGTTGCATGAGTGCAAGTTGGGATTACTGACATGTGTTTCATGATTACAATGCATCTTATAATTATATTATTCGATGGAGCGGAGGTACATCAGTTAGCACTCTGCGCTACGAACCCGACCAACTAAGTTTGATTCCTGGTTATGGCTAACATCTGTGGAGTTACTTCAGATCCGGTCTTGAGTATCCCTCACTTCACTCTCCACATTTGAGCAAACCTCACTGACGAGCGTAATGAAGTATGGTGAAGATAAAATACTTGGAAAATAAGAAATGTGCACGCTACGATGGATGGGTGGAGTAAGGCAGAGAGATAACAGAGATGTGAGGACCATCACAAAATAACTGGGGGTACCAAGTATTGTGGACAAAGCAATGAAAGCAAGACTTGAGATGGGATTGGCCATGTGGTTGCGAGTGCAGCGGGAAATATCAACGGATGATTTTTTTTAAAACAGAGACTAGAGAAAGAGGCCGCGCGAAGATGAGATGGAAGGAAAACACAAAACAGGGACATTAAAGTGGTTGGGGTCTCCTTCATATGGATTTTTCGAAGTAAAGGAAAAAAAAGGAACCAATATAACTTTGTGGCGAGTCTGATAAAAGATTAAATTGTATCAGGAGCTGCTTGATGTATAGCGTCCGTAAATCCTGTGCAAGTGCAACATGAGTAGTGGTCTGTTACGAATTGAACAGATTGTACGTCACCACGTGCACAATAGGGTGACAATTGTGGCTCGGGTCAGAAGAGTGAGAAGTGGCGGGGTAGTGGTGTGGGTGGAGACCCCGGGTGGGTGATCCCAAAAGAATGTGGGAATAGTTGTCGGAAGATCTGACAGCAGTTTGTCTTACCTTTTGTCCCTGAGAGAAACGGATATGCCGTCTCCTTCGTAAGAGAAGGCCACCATGGCATACGGGCAGACCTGGCGCGGTCGACGACAGATGTCCAACTCTCCAAACTCAAATAGGTAGCACTGCCAATGAGAAGCGTGGAGATTCACAAAATGTCATCCACCACCAGAGGAGAAGGTCGGGTGGCTCCGGGATCACGGCACTAAGCCGGCAATGCTGAGTGTTGTCAGTTAGAATTTCAGGTTTCGGCGACTCGTGATTAAATGGGGTTTTCAAGTGTACCGAGTTCATGGTCTGAGCCTAGGGAGACAGACACCAATACGGTCACCCATTGCGAAGACCATCCAGATTCAACCCTGCTTATCTTCCAAGATCTGACGAAAACGGGCACATCTAAAAGTTATCTATTAATTGCCATTTTACATACATAATAGTTATTATATTAGGGTTACAACAACAAAATACAATTGATACTCTTTATCAGCCATGATTAATCCACTGCTCGATGAAGGCCTCTTCAAGCAGTTTACATCTCTCACGATGCTGTGATGTAATAATCAGAGCACACCAGCCAATTTCATCACTCTACCTCATCTGTCCCTATGTCTGTCCATCTGCGCACGCGCGCTTGCGAGGGATTTGGCTCTCGGACCGTGGGGTTTATGTAGAAAATTTGCGGGCGGCACACTCCGAGCCCCGCGGTGGGGAAAGGCTATTCCGTTTTCCCATCCGTCACCTTTAAATTAGTATGAATCGCGTTTTTGTGAGATTTTTATTTATTTATTTTTGCCGCCCAAGCTGCAGGGGGTTTGCCCCTGGCAACGCACACACGTCATCGGTGGAGGGTGGGGGGGATTTCTCCTTCGCGTTCAAAATGCAAAAAAAATACACGCGACGCTGAGGTAAATTCATCAAAGTGTCAAGTCCTCTTCTCTCCCCTCCCCACCCCAATGTGTGGACTTACTATTATAGGGTCGGAAAATACTAATATTATAGCGCTTATACATCGTTTTATTGTAGCGTGGGCAGGGGGGGGGGGGGTAGCGGCCCAGCCCCCAGCCTCTAGGCGAAATCTAGGCGAGGCCGGGGGCTCTGCACGCCACTGTCAGGTGAGGACTTTGTGCTATAGAGTCGATATATACTGCTACTAGCGGGAAATACCCAGCGTTGCCCGGGGCAAAAATAGATTTAAAAACTTCTGAAAACTTAAAAACATAACATACAAATGAAAATAAAACTTATTTAAAATTAAACCCAAGTGTGCCAAGAATCGATTCTTTAAATCGCGCAAAGGAATTGAATGTTGAAGATTACTTTAGAATCGTCTTGAAGCGATGACGCGCAACAGAAACATCCTGGATAAACCAGCAAATCTTTAAAAAAAACGTATTATAACGCTGTGTGCTCAAATCCCAGTGTGATGCAAGTAAAACAATAGCAACCATAAGATAGATTAACCATTTAACACGTAGGCTTTCGAGACCAATATTATTCATAATCAACGTTTTTGGGTTTAGATCGCGTTATTTATAAATGTGTCCCCTCCACCACCCGACACGGCCAATCAGTAAAAAAGTGTCACGTTGACATCATCGGGCAATTCGCCAGAATTCTGGCGAATTACCCGATGATGCTGGATGCAATTACCAGCGAAACGTCGTACTCAAATTGTAAATGTTGTGGTTTCACGCTTCAACACATCGGTGGGCTAAAGCAGTGAACTATTTGTCTTTTGTCAACGTGACACTTTTTTACTGATTGGCCGTGTCGGGTGGTGGAGGGTTACGACACATTTATAAATAATGCGATCTAAACCCAAAAACGTTGATTATGAATAGATTAACCATGTTTTCTAAATCACCAAAATAAAGCTATAAAAACAATGTAACAACAGGAATCATAGGAACTGTGATTCTCATTTAACAATAAACGATATACATAACATGTACGACCAAACTTGCAGCCATAACTGGCAGCATGACACTCCCAGTGTATGATGTGCGAGTGAGTCAGTGGTAGTGTGAGTGTATGATGTGTTAGTGAGTCAGCTTATGATGAGTGAGTCAGCGTATGAGTGAGTGTATGATGAGTGAATTAGTGTATGATGAGTGAATTGGTCGGTGGTTGTGTGAGTGAGTGTATGATGTGTGAGTCAGTGTATGATGAGGGAGTCAGCGTATGATGAGTGAGTCAGTGTATGAGTGAGTGTATGATGAGTGAATTAGTGTATGAGTGAATGGCTCAGTGGTTGTGTGAGTGAGTATGTATGTGTGAGTGAGTCCGTGTATGATGTGTGAGTCAGTGTATGATGTGTGAGTCAGTGTATGATGTGTGAGTCAGTGTATGATGTGTGAGTGAGTCAGTGTAAGATGAGTGAGTGTATCACGGGATCCTCCACGTCATCAAAGGCCTCCCCGCCATCACGGTATGCTAAACATTTCGAACAGACACACATTCACAAATTTGCCTTTTACATATGATATATAAGATAGAGTCAGCATGTACTACTGTAGTGTAAGCAGGTACCACCACAGTCGGTATCCACTGCTGTAATCATAGCAGGTACCACCACAATATGCACTGCTGTAATCATAGCAGGTACCACAACAGCAGCATGCACTGCTGTAATCATAGCAGTTCCACCACAGTCAGTATGCACTGCTGTAATCATAGCAGAAACCACCAGTTAGTATGCACTGCTGTAATCATAGCAGGTACCACCAGAGTCAGTATGCACTGCTGTAATCATAGCAGGTACCATCACAGTCAGTATGCACTACCGTAATCATAGCAGGTACGACCACAATATGCACTGCTGTAATCATTGCAGGTACCACCACAGCAGTATGCACTGCTGTAATTATAGCAGGTACCACAACAGTAGTATGCACTGCTGTAATCATAGCAGTACCACCACAGCATTATGCACTGCTGTAATCATAGCAGAAACCACAATATGCACTGCTGTAATCATAGCAGGTGCCACATGTCAGTATGCACTGCTGTAATCATAGCAGGTGCCACCAGTCAGTATGCACTGCTGTGATCATAGCAGATACCACCACAGTCAGTATGCACTGCTGTAATCGTAGCAGAAACCACAATATGCACTGCTGTAATCATAGCAGGTACCACCACAATATGCACTGCTGTAATCATAGCAGGTACCACCACAGTTGGTATGCACTGCTGTAATCATAGCAGGTTGGGAATAGGCTATTCCTTTTTTACGTTCGTCACCTTTAACTTAGTTAAATTAGCGTTTTATGGCGATTTTGCATTAATTATGTATCTCCACGCCCCGCCCAAGCTGCAGGGGAGTTGCCCCTAGCAATGCATGCACATCATTGGTGGAGGGTGGGGGGGATTTCTCCTTCGCGTTCAAAATGCACAAAAAATACACGCAACCCTGACGGTACATTCATCCAAGTGTCATGTCCTCTTCTCTCCCCCCCCACCCCAATGTGTGCACTTACTACTCTAGGGTCAGTACATACTAATATTAGTGCATAGTTTTCTTGTAGGATTATTGTAGCTTGGGCGGGGGGATGGTGGGGGGTAGCGGCCCAGCCCCAAGCCTGGCAATGTCTCACCTCCTCCGACTTGCCAATCTAGGCGAGGCCGCGAGCTCTGCACGGGACTAGGCCTCACCACGCCAATGTAAAGTACAATTTTATTGAAACTTTCGCTAAGAACTCAGGTTTATTGTTTACTATTATTAAACAAATAAGTAAAAAAATATTACAAACATAATGTTTGTGTGCAGATAACAACTCAGGTTCATTGTTTACTATTATGAAACTAATAAGTTGGCTAATATTACAACAATAATGTTTGTGTGCAGAAAACAAATTTTTCATTTTAGGTTGCTCAATATTTCCTTTTTTTGGTGCGTTTTTATGACGCTACGACGGTGTACTGCCAGTCTGTGCTGTGGACTGCTGCCTGCTGATTCATTAACGTGAGTGCACTGCCACTCTATTATCTACACTGTTAATTTTGCTTTTGCCCATTATGAGTGTATGCCAGTCTATAATCTGTTGCCTGCTTCTTTACCTCACTACTGCCAGCCTTTCATGTCAACTGTATCCTGCTTAACACGTAGGCTTTCGCGACCAATGTTATTCATAATCAACGTTTTTGGGTTTAGATCGCGTTTATTTATAAATGTGTCGTAACCCTCCACCACCCGACACGGCCAGGGACACTCAATTGATTTTGACAACGTGGAAGTGTTGTGTAAAACTAGTTACTACTGGCAAAGACTAATTAGAGAATCGATTGAAATTGAGAGAAACAGAAATAACTTTAATCGCTCAGACAGCTACAGGCTTAGTGCGGCCTGGAAGCGTATTATTAAATAAGATACATTACAATTACTTATAAGGGAAACAACCACTAACTGATTACTAATGTAGCATAATCACAATAAAACACATTCCAAATGATTACTAATCTACAACTCGCATCGTAACAATAGCCTGATTACTAATCTAGTATATAATTACAATCACTCCCCCCTTGAATCTTTGCACCTGGTGAGTTAATGAGTTAATGATGACGTCACCCTGCTGCTGCTCTATATAAGAACGGGAGACACAGGAGAACCTCACCATTCTGGCGAATTGCCCAATGATGCTGGTTGCAATTACCAGCGAAACGTCGTACTCAAATTGTAAATGTTGTGGCTTCAACACACCGGTGGGCTAAAGCAGTGAACTATTTGTCTTTGTCAACGTGACACATTTTTACTGATTGGCCGTGTCGGGTGGTGGAGGGTTACGACACATTTATAAATAAACGCGATCTAAACCCAAAAACGTTGATTATGTATCCTGCTTTTTCAGCTGCTGCCTGTATTGCCAGATTTTTATGTCCACTGTAGCAATGCGATTGCGATGCTGATAGCTGTGCCATCATCGGGGATTGCTGTGCACGTCCATATGTGTGTGTGAGTCGATGTGTGTGTTTCAGTCCATATGTGTGTGCATGTAGGTCCATGCGTCTGTGTGTAAGTCCATGCGTGTGTGTCTTTTTCGAACCGACAATTCCCCGTGTGTGTGTGTATGTCGATGTGTTTGTGTGTCAGTCCAAGTGTGCGTGTCAGTCCATGTGTGTTTATCAGTCGCTGTGTGTGTGTTAGTCGATGTGTGTGCATGGCTCCTTGTCAGTGTGTAAGTCAATGTGCGTGTCAATGTGTGTGTACACATCCATGTGTATCAGTCCATGTGTGTGTGTGTAAGTCTATACATGTGTGCATGTCACTCGATGTGTGTAAGTCAGTGTGTGTGTGAGTTGATGTGTGTGTAACTCCATGTGTGTGTATCTAAAGTATATGTCTGTGTGTAAGAGTCCATGTCTATGTGTGTGTACGGCAATGTGTGTGTGAGTCTATGTATGTGTGTGTCAGTCTGTTGTACATATAGGCCTTTTTGCAAAAAAAAACATTAAGAATAATTCTGCCAATATTTTTTTTAAATAATCAATCGCAGAATCACTTGGAGCAAAAGGGGGTGATGCAAAACCCTCCCCTCACGAGCAGCCGCCTTTCACACTCGGGACCAGAGAGCCGGAGATAAGCCATAAAAAGTAATTAAAAAAAACCAGGCATCGCCAACTTCTCGGGCAGCGAAAACCAAACAGGCAAGTTTTTTTTTAGGTTATTTTAGTTAACGGAAAAGTCCAAAAACTTAGCGACAAGAATAAGTGAACATAAACCAAATAATAATTATGAAGTATTAGACCAAGGGTCATCTACAAGAATAAAAAGGCGAAATAGGTCAACTACGCGCAACCAAGATAAAATGTATTCCATAAAGAAATCCTCCCAGCCGCCTTTGTCTACCAGAAGCATGTGGTAGCAATAAAATCACAAAGAGAAGAGGGGGGAGCAGGGGAATGACAGTCACAGGGGAAACCTCTCCCTCCAGAGAGTTTATTGCGCAATCAGAATCGGGGTGAGGCAATTTAAGCCATCTGTTTTCTACGAATGAAAAGATGGCTTGAGGGGGACAGGACCCAGGCCAGGGTGAGACTTAACAGATTGCTTAATAAATCAGAACACACACACGGACACACGTACAACTCCCCCCGCCCACAGCAAAGAGCAAAATCAAAGGATGATCCGGTCCTTTGTGAGAAGGCGAGCCGAGGGGAGAGAATTTCAGATATAACCAGAGACACAACCATACATCGAGGCTACTCCAGCCAGCTACTGCAAGGGCTACTGCAAGGGACAGAAGAGCTACGACCAGCGAGCAGACTCCGGGGCAGGGCCTCGAGATCAACCATGGGTGTCGTGTCTCGCAGAGAGAAGGGACGATGTGTTGTTAAGAGCTGAGTTCGGCATGGACCGACAGAGTATCGCTGAAAGTTTTATTCTACATTTATCCTGATGTTTTGAGTCGCTTGCAAAGTCAAGGGTTGTGATAAGCTGTATTGTACTAAGCTTTCACAGTTGTTTAAGAGGGTGCGAATACAATTTGCAAGTTTTTGAGAGTGAGTCCCAGCTCCCACGAGCAGCTGCAGCTCGAGATGAACTGACGAGCAACGTAAAAGCAATCAACCTCGAGAAAGGGCGGAAAGCGCCAAGCGTTGACCAAGCCAGCATCACAGAGAACCAGCTGCACGCGCAATCGTGCGCCGCCAGAGGGCACAGAGCAGGAGAGAGCACGCAGCAGCGTCACCGAGCTCCACCGAGCAAAGGTGTCAGCTGCCAGCAGACAAGCGACAAGCGTTGTGCCGACTCGGCTCATCCAGCAGGAGAAAGAGCCTGACCAGCTGCCCGTGAGGAAGAGGAGAGCGCCGGTGAGAACACCGTGGGTTCGACCCACACACACACTGACCAGCACTAGCTGGGAACCAAGACAAGAGTGAGGAACGGCGACCAGCAAACGAGCTGGTGCATTGCCAAAGAGCACGGGGCAGGAGAGAGCGCGTGCAACCAGCTCATCTAGCAGTGGAAGGTGTCTGCCGCTGCCAGCGGACGAGCGGCAAGAGCGATCGAGCATCTTCAAGGACAAGCATCGTGCATACGCAGCTCATCCAACAGTGGAAGGAGCCGGCAGCTGCCAACAGACACGCCCCGAGTGAGAGGGAGCAACGAAGCCGTTTGTATAACACGCCCAGCCTCACACGCTCACCGCTCCACAGAGAACAAACAAAATTTTGGTACAAGGAATGCTCAACCTCGGCGTCTGCTTTACGCAAAGAAATGATCAAAGAAGGCACACACACACAACACGCCTATCGGGACGAATAAGATTGTTCCAAAAAGTTATCTTTGTGTTTCAAGAAGGGTTGCCATTCCAAGGTGGTGCGTTAAATATCAACTGATCGTGAAAAGCATTTGCTGCCCGTCGAGTTACATGAATACGATTGTTAGAAGTATTTTAGTCATTCGTTTTCGTTAATTGCATAATCTTGCCAATTAATGAATTGCCATATACTTTGCCTTCGGGATGTTTCTTTATTACTGTTCGTATGAATATCGTCGCATCCATGTTTAAGGACTTTGTCCTATCGCCGTACATGTTCGCGTTACTCCGAGGAATTAATAGATTGTTCTGATTACCCAGTTTGACAACGTAATCACTGAGGATTAAATGTACGGATCAATGAGGAGAACATCTCCAGGAGTACTGTGTTAACAATTACAAGCGTGAGAGTTCGCATATTAGAGCTTTTGTTTAGAATTAAAGTTGCTTAACACAGAAGTGTCTGAGTGTTGCCTTCCTAAGTTCATGCATAATAATCTTAATTATAAGAACTGTATCCTGTGGTCAGATTTGAATTTGGAGACCTGACATTAACACACTAAGACATAATCCGTAAATGTTAAAGCGAGAATAATTGTATTATCCCGATTGATAATACGACCCTAGACAACGAAGATAAGTCTAATTATAATAACTGCATACATTAGCATAATCATACATTTGCGTAACATAATACGGTTACACCTCCATAATTATCATTATTTATGCGCATAATCAAAGCACAACAAGTCGGCATCAGTAGAGGGCACAGGTGGTGCATCAGCCAGTCATCTCGGTCATCTCAGTCAGTCGACCCGTGGCACCTGGGTCTGCCCCGTGACCTCCTGCCAGTGGGCATTCGACACTTCACGTGGCCTCAAGGTGCACATGGCCTGGCACAAGCGTCGTGGTGACGTCACCGCCACTTAGTGACGAATGGCGGTTGTTGTTGTGTGCGTGTAAGTCGATGGGTTTCTGTGTGTGTGGGTCGATGTCTGTGTAAGTCCACGTGTGTGTCTGCCTTTTTCGCCTGGGCAACGCCGGGTACTTATCGCTAGTTCCTTTCATATTCTTGTACATTGGTCATCATAACTTCTCGCCATTGTGTCCTGCCCAAGCCCACTTACTTTTCCTTAGGAATGTCTAATCCACGTGTTCATCTTTCTGTCACTCAATGTCATTCCAAGCAAGCGTCTCTCAATGCTTTCATGTGTACTTTTCAGTGTATGTCCTTGATTTTTCTTATATGCCCACATGGTCCTGAGTCATAAATCAATGTAGGTAGTATGCACTGATTACACACTTTACTTTTTATGCACATTGCCATGTGACTTTTTTTTCTATAATTGCATTCACCTTTCCAACAGAATTCCAACCTGCTCGCCTTCTTTTTAATTCAATCTTTTGATTTGGGACCGCCGTCAACATCCGTCATAGCTAGACACATATAGACGGTCTGCTGTGCTTTCCAAATGCATCTCCTCCAGCAGAGATCTCCAGTTGCTGAGCGATCTTGTTTTACATAACATCCGCATGCTCATATTTATCCCGAGCCTTAACTTTGCAGCCTCCCCTGAATAAAGTTCTTTAAGCATTCCCTGCAGTTAATTCTCCCAATCTGACGTTATAATGACTATGTCGTCAGTATATCCGAGACGGTTAACAATGCTTTCTCTTTTAATAATCGTCTTTGTTTCTCTAATCCAATTTTCGGAAAACATATTTTAATGGGCACTGTGGATAACATTTTACATGTGTAATGGGTTCCGGAGACACTTGTAAAGGTAACTTCTTTATTACAATCCAACAGCACTCCAACAGTCCTGATACTCTGTTACAGCCTAGGTACACAGCCTGGATACACAGCCTAGATACACTACTCTGGCTACGCTCTGGAACTCACCCTCACAAGGACGTAGAGCCGGGAGTTCCAGAGTCCCACCACTGGCCCTCACAGCGTCCCAGGGTCCTCAGATGGCTGGTCTTGGGTCTTGAGCTACAACTGGCCCTGATCGTCCAGGGAGCTCCCCTTTTATGCCTAGTCCCCAACGAGGGGTGGGGCCGTGTGTGCCCCCAGATATCCCACAGAGCACACACAGCTGCCCCCGTCGGTGGCGCCAAGGGGCTTAAGCGCCTGGGCCGCCTGGGAACCCAGCGCCTGGCGCCAAGGGGCTTAAGCGTCTGGGCCGCCTGGGAACCCAGCGCCCGGCGCCAAGGGGCCCAAGTGCCTGGGCCGCCCAGGGTCCCAGAGCCCCCCAGCAGCCCCTCCCCTCCCATGTCACTACACATGTAACGGTACATTGTTATAATTACCAGGAGGAATAAAACATCAATGGAGGCGAGTGAAGTGAAAAAACGCGAATAAAGAAAAGATCGCGGCTCCACCACGGGGGAATCACCTGTGAGTGTTTGTGAACAAAGCAGTCGTTGTTGGAAGAGGAGTTCACAAAGGCCAACTTCTTAGACACGTGGCAGTCGAACTGCGACGACGGGTTACTGGGTCGCTCCAGTGTCTGCACTCTCCCCTGTGTCACCGCCACCAGACAAACGATCAATATCTATCATTGCGTTACTTCATATTCATTCATCATTTGTTCATCATTATCCCTTCATTTCTCATTCATACACAGCCACGTGTCAATCCACTGCTGAGATAATAGATAGAGCTAGAACAATTATACTGGTAGGAACCTCCTGGTTACACCAGCCCACAGGGGATTATTGTGTCCGTCGTGCAGGGAGGGTAGGGAGGGGCTGAGTGGGGATGGTGGGGCTGGGTGGGGTGGAGAGGGTGGGGAGGGGCTGGGTGGGGAGGGACTGGGTGGGGCTGGGTGGAGGGTGGGAGGGGTGGGGTTGGGTGGGGAGGGGCTGGTCACCCCGTGGTGCCCTTATACAACTCAACGTTTAACCTACTCACGCCGGCTTGTGCCCGCCGCCCTCAGTCGAGCATATTTGCGGAATACACCACGCCGCCATTGACCCTGGCCATTGACCGAGCAACCCAACGTTCCTACCAGCTCCCTCTGCAGGAATGTGTTTTAATTGAGTCGATTAAAAAGGGAAAGGTACAACCCTGAAATTGCTTTGCTCATGCCACTGATCACAAATTACATAACGGGCAGCACATCTTTAAACTCACGAAACTGGAATCTCAGCGACACCACCCACTCACCAGTTACCACCAGCTTTGTTAGACGTTACCATCCAGCAATTTCTGCTCACTTGGGCCTCGACAAAGGAGGATTATGAACGTAAATTAAAAAGGTGAAAACCAAACGTGCAGCTCTGCAATTGCTTGCTTACGCCACTGCTGACTGAAGGACCGACTACAGAGGGCTCTAGATAGTATTTTGGCCTACTCTTCCATGCCGGCCAGACGGCTTGGAAGTGGTGGGAATCCCCACTGCAAGCAACCTGCTGATTGACTGTGGTGAACCCATTTATAATGCTATGTGCAAAGAGACGGGGGGGGGGGCAGGTATTAAATAAACTTTTGAGTGGAAGAAGGCAGCCTTCACTCAGCCCACTCCATTAAGTGAGAAATCGCGATGATTGCCATCACCATGGCGACAACATTGATCATTGATCTCCCGGTCTCCAAAGCAACAGCACACACAAAGAAAATTTGAAAAACTGTTCAAATGACAACTGCTCAAGTAATGGTTTGAAATGTATGTGTTTTGTTTTAACTTTAAAAAAAATACCTCTACAAACATACCACAATTCGTTAAGTGTGTGGCGTCGTGGTCAATGCTAAATTCAGACTTTAACACTTGGCTCATTTTGATACCATATTCTCTAGATAAGATGCAGTGCATGAATTTTAAGTTGGGAATGCATTAGGTATGTGTGTGTTAAACCAGATATGCAGGACTTTATTGACACAAGTTTGAAATGTGCGTCTTAGTTTCCAGAGTATCTTATAATACAGAGAAAATGATACATTTAAAATAGCTTGTTGGAATGCTGGAGGTGGATGCAAACTAATAGAGATCCTACCTTGCACATTTTGAAGATGAGCATCACACCTGTACCGATAGGCAGCTGCATTGGCTGGAGGACATCCGAGAAGCTGCACAGATACACTCCTGCCACACAAACACTTGTCAGTCAACGGTCATTACACAGGAAAGGCAGAGGTGAAGCCCTGCATATTCTTGGCTCGTACCACTGCTGATTGAAGGGACTCGACTATAGAGAGCTCTAAACAGCCCCTGTACAGGGTATTTTGGCCTACTCTTCCACGCAGCCAACTTGCGACATCCCCCCCCCCCTCCCAATGATACAAACTGCTTGATTTAATCCTGAAACTCAAAAGTGATTTTTGGTATACAGATCGACGTATGGATTGATTAATGTGCTTGCAACATGTGTGGATTACAAATTCATCAAACCCATTTACTGCACTCGTTTCTCTTTTCTATCTCCTCCTAGCCTGCTCCAGCTCAGTGTTTCCTTCTCTTCTAGCCCATATTGGTGTGTTAATGTATACTCTGGTTCTGTACACCAGTTGAAATCCATCGCACTAGTGTGAAGAAGCAGAATCTAACATGGGCACGAGTACAATGTTAAAATTGATCATGATGGCCTGCCACACATTGATTGTAGTATATCGAAACATTTTTTTCGGTTGCAGGTCACTAAGATGTTCGCACGTGATTAAGTATGTGTAGTCACAGGTACAGCCCTTTTCTAAATCCACTGCTGAATGAAGGCCTCCCCATGCATTGCAGGTTTTGGGTGAGACTTGAACATATTAATTCACCAGACATACTGGTAATTATCCTAGAATGACAGACACTACCCAAGCAACACGTGGATTTTCTTGACACTCATGTGTGAGTGCAGACAGGGAAATAAGCAGTTGCTATTGCTTCCACAAGCGGCTACAAATTTTAACAAAATAACGAAAAATAACTGTTTATCGAGATGACTCAAAACATTTACAAAGCATTTTCAAAGAACGGCCATGCCATGCTCTGTGGCAAAAAGCATTCAACAGTCGGTTTTGGGCCATCAGGTGGGTGGGGCAAACGGACTTCACATTCATAATCAACGTTTTTGGGTTTAGATCGCGTTTATTTATAAATGTGTCGTAACCCTCCACCACCCGACACGGCCAATCAGTAAAAAAGTGTCACGTTGACAAAGACAAATAGTTCACTGCTTTAGCCCACCGGTGTGTTGAAGCCACAACATTTACAATTTGAGTACGACGTTTCGCTGGTAATTGCAACCAGCATCATCGGTCAATTCGCCAGAATGGTGAGGTTCTCCTGTGTCTCCCGTTCTTATATAGAGCAGCAGCAGGGTGACGTCATCATTAACTCATTAACTCATCAGGTGCCAAGATTCAAGGGGGGAGTGATTGTAATTATATACTAGATTAGTAATCAGGCTATTGTTACGATGCGAGTTGTAGATTAGTAATCATTTGGAATGTGTTTTATTGTGATTATGCTACATTATGCTACATTAGTAATCAGTTAGTGGTTGTTTCCCTTATAAGTAATTGTAATGTATCTTATTTAATTATACGCTTCCAGGCCGCACTAAGCCTGTAGCTGTCTGAGCGATTAAAGTTATTTCTGTTTCTCTCAATTTCAATCGATTCTCTAATTAGTCTTTGCCAGTAGTAACTAGTTTTACACAACACTTCCACGTTGTCAAAATCAATTGAGTGTCCCTGTTGGCATGCATGTTCTGCTACTGCCGACAGTTGTGTTTGTGATAGTTTAATATTTCTCTGGTGTTCTTTTAGTCTTACACTAACGTTACGCCCTGTCTGTCCAATATAGCATCTGCCACATACACAATTAATCCGATATACACCTTCTGTTGATAATTTAGGTAATTCGTCTTTAGTGCGCGTTACTAGTTGTTGAATTTTGTGTACTGTACCAAATCTTACTGTAATGTTTTGCTTTTGCAAAACACGGGCTAATTTATCAGTTACTCCTGAGATAAATGGTATTTTTATTGTTTTAATAATCTGATCGCTTTCAGCAGTGTTGCTTTGCGATCGTGATTTGGCTTTTAGTGCTCTGTTAATTTGAGCATTATTGTAGCCATTCTGTCTTAGTGCTTCTTTAACATGTTTAATCTCTCTCACTAGACTTTCACGTGTCGGGTGGTGGAGGGTTACGACACATTTATAAATAAACGCGATCTAAACCCAAAAACGTTGATTATGAATAACATTGGTCGCGAGAGCCTACGTGTTAAACGGACTTCACATTGAATATATTTCTTTATCTTCATGCATCACTTTTGACAGATGTCGAACGTAAAAGCAATATGGTTTCTAAATAGTACGACGAAATTAGTGGTCGAAACCACAAGTGGGGATTTCAATTTGCGAGGTCAGTTACCCATTTTGGGTGTGCCCAAACAGCCAGTCTTCACGTTTCCAACGCACAGTCCATTTTGGCATGCTTCCTTTGCCTGCAAAACAGGAAGAAAACAGACTTGCGGCCAAAACTCTGTAGACTTGTCTCCATTACACAGCAAGGGTGCAGCCCTGCGATTACTTGCTCACACCACCGGTGACGGAAGGGCCTCCCCTTCAGAGTGCCTCACCAGACTATTTTGGCCTCCTCTTCCATGCTGGCCAAATGTTTTGGAAGAGATGGGAGTACCTACATTTTATAGCACCACACAGAGCGTGTCGATCAATGTTGGTTTGTAGACCTGCCGATCACCAGAAGCTGAGGATTTTAACAAACGTGCACCACTATTTTTTAAACTATGTCACAAAATGCCGACTGAAAAAACAGTTTCGGTGGCAAGAACTTGGACGAACTACTGCAGAGCACAACCGAAAGAGGCTGGCTGATGACCAACCGTGAATACAGCAGTGGTTTGACTTCGACGGAGGGTGCAAGCAAAAATGGATAAGTATTGGAAGATAGCCTGCCCTACCGATCGTTCGGAGTCTGCAAGGAAGAAGCCATAGGATTCGTCGAGTTCTTTCTCCAAGCGGCCCTCTCTTCGCATGTCTTTGCGCCACTCGTTGAACTGTAACAACAAGACAGATCGGAACGTTTTGGATGGATTTTTGAGACGAACATGGAACATGGGGTGCCCTGTAAAAACATCTGCAGGATACTGCTGCCCAGCATCGAACAGCGTGCAGAAACCTCCCTGCGTCTCCAGAGTGCATAACTGAGCACATTGAGAAATTCAGATGGTTAATGCTAGCAACATGTTTTCAAACTAACCTCAACTGATAACCAAGATCTACAAGAAACTAATAAAGGTTTATCAGCTCATTTCATCTTGGGAAAATAAAACCAAACAATCGGTAGCTTGTGTGATGAACGTGACATTCAAGATTGGCATGACACTCCTGCAAAGTCGTCTCTAGACACCGAGTAAATTAAAAACGAAAACCACATCTCCTCCAATGTGATAGAAAAACGCATTCAAATCGAATGCCCATTTGACAAACAATGTTCTAAGATACTTGCAGAACCACATAAAAATTTGGACAGCCGTCTTTTACAAAAACAACAGAGGTCTCCCAAATCTCCTTGACCAGATCACTCTTCTGGCGTAGCTCACGGTACATCTAAGCACAAGCCAATCACATTCCAGCGTCATAGCATTGATCAGCAAGCCTTGCTAGAAATGGTAGCAATGGAAGGATAATTCATGGAGAGAAGGAGGTTATCTGCTGGTTGGTGTTGTTTCCTTCCCTAAAATAGGATTTGGATGGGTTAAGAATGGTGAGGATATTACATTTCTGGGAGGCTCAACCGTAACACGTGCTGAATTTGCAGCCCCTCCTTCGTTTGCAAATCCATGCCCACTCAGTCACGTGCTTCACCCAGTGAATGGGCTCCTGCTTCTGACGTTGGTTCCCCCTACTGCTCAGCCCCTATCTATTCCCCTACAAACCAAGCCCACTGAGAACAGGTCTGTTTTGTGTATTTGTCTTTCTTCAATGTTCATCCCAACTGTGTTATCACTGCCATGTCATGAGACAAAAGCCATTGCAATATCTCAAATATAAGTTCATACCTTCATGTTATACAATGGCCCATGGAAGCAAACATCACTGAGCTACCTCTGAGATGCCTTCACAAGATATCTGGTCCACTACAGTAAGGGGTAGAACATTTCCACCCACTCTGCTACTCAGAATGTGAAATTGTAGTTGCTGCTTTGCATCAACATCAGCAATAAGGAGAAGACCGTCATGATTGCTGCATGACAAGTCAACTGATAATTTTTAATTCTCAGAGCTGGAATTTATCCAAATTAAGTGCCAAAGATAAATTTGCTGTGACAGCATTTTTGCGCAGCCATTGGTGACCGGGCTCAGACCATCAACTTGCCACACCTGAGCATTTTAATTTAATAACAAGTGGCTGCCTGGATTCAAATCCAAGATCAACGCTCTGACCTCTGGGCCACTCAGTCACCAAGAGAAGTCTCTTTTGGGAGCAAAAGAAACCCAACTACCACAATACACTACAGTCTACAAGTGAAAAAGGGGTTGAGGTAATTTCATACTAAAATTATACTTCATGCATCAGTGCTCATCTCCTTATTTCAACCCAGAGCCAGTAGTGAAAATTCCACATTCATATGGCGGGGGAGAATCTCTCCATAGGGCCACTGTTGACTTCTCCACAAAGCGGTACAAATTTAATCATGCCAGAAGGATGGGCTGCGTCAACCCGTAACCAGGATATTTACTTGCAATCCTTCTGATTGTGTGCCACTCGCTCTACCACCAAGCCGCCTGGCTGGTTATTCTAGAAGACTTTCCCATGTGCCACAAGGTGTTTGTAAAGGGTGTTGACTAGAAAAACTAAATCTGCAATTTAATTTTCACTTCTTTGGTAGCATTTTTCGTTTCATCCTGTGCGCAGTAAAGATTTCACTGAAGAAATTGTTGTTGAATGCAATGGAAAAGTACCAAAGGCCCAAGTTCAAAAATGCTCGTAAAATCCGGCAGGCCGTGAATGTAGTCAGCTCCAAAATGCCAAGGGCATTTTTTTAAAGTGTTCAAGTCAAATTACAAATCTAGGGGAATGGCAGTAGTTGCTAGAGGTTACATCATCACTCCTACAACTCCATCCAATCAAAGCTGTTAGGAAGATAAGCCCATGCAACATGGCCATCATGAAGCTACTCATTCTTAACTTTGAAACCCCCGCCCACCTCCTACGCATTTCACAAGTAGTACTAATCACATACCTGCATTTCTCATAAATATGCTAAATTCCTCTTGATATGAAAATTCTTTTGTCAAGGCGCCCTTCCCCCCTTCCAACCCAGGTTAAATATACGCTCCAAGCGTGGTGGTGTTTCATTTTGCTTCCTCTTAGTATCTTTCACTCGACGGTCAATGGTATAGTGTATAGCAGAATGTATAATAATAAATAGTATAAAATTGTAATGTTTAATACAATGTATAAGGCAATATATAGTATCGTAATTGTATAGTGAATATACAGCAGTGTGATATACAGTAGGGTGGATAGAATAATACATAGTGTAATATTACACTATGTATTATTCTAAGGTATAGGGTGGTGTATAGTAATACAGTATGTAATTTAATGTTGGGTTTGTGTATGGCAGCATATAGTACGGGGTAGACCCGTGTGATGTAAGGGAAAAAAGTTTAGCTGGAAGCATATTATATTTTTTGCGACATAGAATTGTAATGTATTACTTACCGTTAGTAGCTCAGCTTATTGGAGAGTATATTTAGTATACTGATGATATTATGTAGTTTATACTTTCGTTTTTTACGTGGTTGTTTAGTTACTGCAGCTACATACTATTAACATTCCTTCCCTTTATTAATGATACCCCTATCCCCTCTCTTTGATGCTGCTAATCCTGCATAATGCAGGGGCATAATATGACTTTGAAACCCCCCGCCCACCTCCTACGCATTTCACAAGTAGTACTAATCACATACCTGCATTTCCCATAAATATGCTAAATTACTCTTGATATGCAAATTATTTTGTCAAGGCGCCCTTCCCCCCTTCCAGCCCAGCTTAAATATACGCTCCAAGCGTGGTGGTGTTTCATTCAGACGCTGTCTCCCCGACAGACCTGGTCTTCACCTGAGGACGGCTGCTTGCGTTGTGGCCGAAACGTCGTGAGAATTATTTTATTATGTTTTATTATTTTATTACTCCCTTCTACGTGACTTTACCGAAAGAACCAAGAAGAATTGAACAAGTTGTTCTGTACTCAGACCTCCCGAAGTGCAACGTAATTATTTAATAGCGATTCCTAAAATCACGACAAATGCGTCAGATTACTGTGGGCGTATATACACAGGTTATAGATTGTAAGGAAAAGTGGGCTTGGGAATGACATGCCGCAAGAAGTCATGATAGCTGGTCGTTGAAATTATTGACAGCAGCAGCCGAAAGAGGGAAAGCCCACACCGAGATGGGGTGCCACGGTGGCGAGATGTTAACTACCTCGCCTGGTATGCAGGAGTGCGTGGGTTCTATCCCGACCCTGGCCACCTGTATATTTGGAGATAGATGTTCCCCCTGTGGTCGTGTGGATTTTTCTCCAGGTCCTCTCGTCTAACACCTTTTGAGACTAGGCTCCAAAGAAAGCTGTCTCTGGTGTGGACCAATCAGGATCAAAGACAATGCATATATTAGAGGTTTTTTTTGCATTCTGACCACAAGTACTGTGGTTAATGCAGACATAATTCCTTGTAAAAGGTTTCAGTTTGGTGTTTTAACATCCTGTTTTGTTGCCATAATAAAATATAAAAAAGTACTTTTTTTTAAATGCTTTAATGAAATGTACTGTCCGAGCTGCCCCTCCCCCTGCCCCCTTCACCCATCGCCCCTCCCCTACTTCCACATCCTCCGTCCCTCGGCGTGGCTCCCCGAGGATTGGCCTAAGTAAGGGACCGTGGTGATTTACAGCCAACGTGAGTCGAGCGTGGACAATTAGAGCCGTAAACGTGGACAATTAGAGCCGTAAAAAGATTGTTTAAAAATATATATTTTTTTATTTTCAATGATAGAATATAGTAGTGTCATCAGAATGACATACCTATAACAAGTTTGCAGTCGATACGACATTGGGAAGACAGTTGAAATTGAGTTACAATATTTGAGCATACAACAGAGTGAGTTAAATAAAAAAGCGTGTAAAATGTTTAAAAATATATATTTTTACATTTTAATAATAGAATAGTCTTGTCATCAGTATGACATAAGTATACCAAGTTTGCAGTCGATAGCACATTGGGAAGTGGGTAAAAATTGAGTTAGAAGATTTTTTGAGGATACGACAACAGACTGAGCGAGTTAAATAAAAGCGTTTAAAAAAGGGGAAAACCTATTCTCATATTTTGGTACTGGCAAAGGAGGTCCCATGATGAGTTTGGAGTATTTAGCTGCGAGACATTGAACACAATAAGCCACTTCATTGATACTCTTTGGGTCTTTCGGTAAAGTCACATAGATAGAAAAAATTAACTCGTAAAAACAAAGTTTTTCACTATAAATCCTTTATATGCGTGGCATCGGGGCGGCTAGAGTCCTCTCGTCCTCTGGCTTGAGATGGCTGCCACCTATGGGTCAGATGATTGTATGCCAGCATTAACCAATTGGTAAATAAATATTTAATTCTTTTTCCCTGAAAAATTTTGGAATTTTTTTTTCAAGAAAATGCAGTCACGCACAACGAGTCTGTATACAAAATGTCAGCTCGATTGGATCACGGGAAGTGGGTTAAAAAACGACCGAAAGATTTGCACGGTCCTAAGCAAGCAAGCAAACTTAATATAAAGGATTTAATAAGTATAACCCGTAAAAACAAAGTTTTTCACTATAAATCCTTTATATGCGTTGCGGCTAGAGTCCTCTCGTCCTCTGGCTTGAGATGGCTGCCACCTATGGGTCAGATGATTGCATGCCACCATTAAGCAATTGGTAATTAAATATAATATTTTTGTACTAAAAAGTGTAAAATTTTGGAAAAAAATGTTCACGAACATTAATTGTCACGCACAACGAGTCTGTGTGGAAAATGTCAGC